AGGGAAAGATTATTTATATATGGATTGTTTTTGTTATCCTAAATATAATTCGTTTTGTGGAATAAAAAACTCTCCATGAACGAAAATATGACATCGCTTGATGAATATAAACGATATAACAAAAAAATGTCGTGACTTCTACAATTGGAAACTCTTTTTTATGATAATGTATTAATATGTTATTGATTTTAAGGACGTACGAAATATGTAATATTTGTAATTACAAAGGCACATGCAAGTTTCTGACGTTCTTTTCGCCTCTTTGCATCCACTCATTCATTTGACTTGTTTTTCATGTTCCTGTCTGTCCGTTCATACTACTACGTGAAATAGGTGTATTGGTTGAAGCTCTCTTCTTTTTTCCCCACATTTCTTAAATAAATTACATAATTTATAACATTGACATTCTAGTGTACGTATTCATAATATCATCCTTTCATCCATTTTCCTCGTGCTTCTCTGCAACAGAAATACCAAAAAAAAAAAACAAGAATTTTTAAAAAAATGTACTTCCCGACCATAAAACCACCATATATATTTGCCGTCTTCTCCTTCTTATTCTTCTCCGTCTCCTTCTCCGATCCAAGAACCACCGAGTCCGGCCTCTTCTGCGGCGGAGCAAACCGCTCCTCCGCCGATCCCGGCTTCATCCTCACCTTCATCCAAGAAATGCGATCTCTGTCGCAGGAGTTAACGACGCGCCGTTTCGTCACCCACTCCGTGAACTCCACGTCGTTTCACCGATCCAAAACGACAGCCATTTACGCCCTGGCTCAGTGCCACGACGACCTATCCAAGACCGAATGCCTCCTCTGCTTCGCGCTTGCACGCACGCGCCTCCCTCGCTGCCTCCCCTCCGCCGCCGCTCGGATCTTCCTCGACGGCTGCTTCCTCCGCTACGACGACTACAGATTCTACGACGAATCAGTCTCCGCCACGTCAGACAACTACCTCTGCAGCAACGACACCGTTTTGGTTGATCCCCTCCAGTACAGCGATCACGTGAACCGCGCGATGGGAAACGCCGTTAGAACCGCGGTTGGAAACGGGGGGTTTGGAATCGCCGAGGAACGTGGAGCGCACGCGCTCGCGCAGTGCTGGGAGAGCGTGGGAAAAGAAGGATGTAGAGTTTGCTTGGAGAAAGCTGTAGGGGAAGTGAAACGGTGCGTTTCGAGGAGAGAAGGACGAGGTATGAACACTGGGTGTTACATTAGGTATTCTGATCACAAGTTTTACAACGATGGCCATGGCGAATCTCATGGTAAGAAATATAATTCAAATCAATCCATTTTATTATTTTCCACTATAAATATAAATATGGAAAAAAAGTTTTTTTTTTTTTATTGGGCAGGACCTAAAAGCCGAGTTATTGTGGCTATTGCTTTGGGAACGTTTGCACTCGTCACGGTCTTTCTCTTTGCAACGTATGCTATTCTTGCCAAGTTATCAAACACTAAACAAGGTGAATCTTCAAATTTTAGGTTATACAAAAATTTTATGCAACATAGAATATAATCATATGGACCGAAAATGTTCGCTATTATTTTTCCCTTAAGCGTGTACAATGCTGAGCATCGTAGCAATGCACAGAGCGAAGAAATCTCGGGCTAATATCGGCAAGATTCAATAACTCGAGAACAAAGTACAAGTACGAAACCCTAGAGAAGGCGACGGATTACTTCAGCAGCAAGAGAATACTAGGGCAAGGAGGAAACGGCACCGTTTTCCTGGGAACACTGGCGAGCGGGGAGAGCGTAGCAGTGAAGAGACTGGTGTTCAACACGAGGCAATGGGTGGAGGAGTTCTTCAACGAAGTCAACCTCATCAGTGGGATCCACCACAAGAACCTCGTCAAGCTTCTCGGCTGCAGCATCGAAGGGCCCGAGAGCCTCTTAGTCTACGAGTTCGTCCCTAACAAGAGCCTCGACCAGTTTCTTTTCGGTGATTAATCTTTCCATCGTTCTCTTCCTCCCTCTTTTACCAGTTTCTCTTTTAGAGTATAAATTGAAAAATGCCCTAAAGATAGTGAATTTCTTGGTCATTTGCAGACGATAAGAGATCAAAGGTCTTGAACTGGAAACAGAGGCTAAACATCATAAAAGGGACAGCAGAGGGGTTGGCTTACCTACACGGTGGTTCTCCGGTGAGAATCATACACCGAGACATCAAGACAAGCAATGTTCTTCTCGACGAGCAACTCGATCCCAAAATCGCGGATTTCGGATTAGCTCGTTGTTTCGGCCATGACAAAACCCATCTCAGCACCGGCATTGCTGGAACCCTGTAAGCACTGGATTCCTCTCTCTCTCTCTCTCTCTCTCTCTCTCTCTCTCTCTATGCGCTTTTGTTCTGATGGGCTTTATTATGCAGGGGTTATATGGCACCGGAGTACGTTGTTCGTGGGCAGCTCACGGAGAAAGCAGACGTATACAGCTTCGGAGTTCTTGTTCTCGAGATCGCTTGCGGCACAAGAAACAGCGTCTTCGTGCCGGGACTTGGCTCTCTCCTACAAAGAGTAAAGAATCCAAATTTAACACCTCTTTCGTTGAATCATTTCTTCTAGTTCTTGTTAGATTTTCATCTCCTAACAAATCTAACCAAATTTTGCTAATCTCCTGATTGTTGTTTGGTTTTACAGGTGTGGAAGCTCTATACACTAAACAGATTGCAAGAAGCCCTACACCCATGTCTGAAAGATGAGTTGCTTCAGACGCAAGAAACACAGGCCGAGGCCTTTACCACCCTTCGAGTGGGGCTGTTATGCACGCAAGCCTCGGCTACACTCAGACCTTCCATGACAGAAGTCATCCGAATGTTAACGGAAAGAGATTGCGGAATTCCCATCCCCAGCAGCCCTCCTTTCCTCAGGATCAATTCACTGGCTGAACCAGAGGGTTCCACCAGATCTTATAGCACCAACAGTACAACATCTAACACAGGGATTAGAATGGATCAACCACCTTCTTACACCTCTTCCGAATCTTCGGGAACTCAGAGAAGTTAAAAGGGTGATACTTTTTTTTTTTTTTGGGCCTCTGTATGCAAATCGTCGAAAACTCGATGCTGCAGAGGATTATTCATTTAAAGCGACAACATCTTCATCAAGATACAAAACACCAGTAATCAGGAAACCATGTCCAAGCATCTGAAAGTTCAGTGCACGCGTTCCAGCAGTTCTTGATCTTGAACTCAAAACATTTGCATTTCCAAGATTCAGATTTATTACCACGAAAACTAGTTCAAAACATGGCAGAGAAGAGAACATGCGACGTTTATCTTGCAACACACATACTAAATGCCTCACTTTGTCTTGCTTCCTCTGCTACTAAGAAGGCGAAACGCATTAAATATCGTAGAGAAGGAAACATACGCGATCACTTATCTTCGTCGACGACAACGCTGATCTCTCCCTTCTCCAGCAATTCATAGAACTCCTTTGTTTGTCTCTGGCTGTTCCAGTGATACATTTTCCATAACCCTCCCGCTATAAGGCCGAGGGATATCCCGTAGATTATCTCTTTGACTACACTTGGACCTTTGTTAGCAGCTTTTGCAATCTTTGGAACCCTCGCCATTTCTTTCTTCTTCTTCTTCCCTGCAAAAGTTTGGTCTGCAAATAATCGAATTCGTATATAAATTGCACTTCACAAAGACCGAATTTTTCACTGAATGAAAGTGGTAATGTGAATAATTTAGATATTACATTGGTAAGAAATTCAGAAACAGGGGTCCTCATGGTAGATGAAGGCACTGATCTAAGCAATTCAACCAAATTTCAGACCATACAATGGATCGTTGCAAGTGATTAACCTTTTATATTCAAAGTTCTAACGCGTTCTAACAACATGCAGTAGTGTGCAGATCATCTACGAGTATATAATTTCTTTTCCAACAATAAACTTTGTAGCATAAGAAACATTACAGCAGAAACTTTAACAAAAAAAAAACATTACAGCAGAAAACGATTCATCTTTTTTTTTCCTGCAGGCACGGATTTTGCTGGAAAGCTATCAGTAGATTTTCTCAGCAATCAAACAGGATAACTGATTTCAAGATTTTCATTGGAAAAAAAAGGAGGGCGAAACAGATAGAGCAATTACTTACCTGTGGCAAAAAAAAATTCTCAGGTTGAAAAGGCTCGAACAATGGAGAAACAGAGAAGCTTCAAGAGACGAAATATTTATACTCAAGGAATAAATGGAGAGAAAAGATCTGCTACTACGAGCCTAAAGACTTACGTGCACTCACTTTCTTGAAGAGCTAAATAAACCGTTGAGATTGAAGATTGTATGTGACCGAAAAAGATCGACGGTTCTACATTATTAGATTATTTAAGGTGCTATATTATTTTTGAAAAATGTTTGTAATCTGCTCTTTGTGCACACGTCGGCTCAACAGTAGAGCCACGTCTACACCGAATTTGAAAATCTCGGGAAGGACGAAATTGTAATTTTGGGGTGTATACGTAATTTAGTATACATATTGGGGTCTCTGTGTAAGTAATAAAAGGGATCTTGAACACGTCGCCAACATCTCTACGCTCTTAGCCCCGGATTTCAAATTTGCCTCTCTTCTCTCTCTCGCTCGTTCGCTCTCGCTCTGTGGCTTGGATGCTGATTCGAACTGGATCCTGGTGAGATTGATCTCTGATCTGTTCTTTATTTGAATCCGATCGGCGATTCTGAAATGTATGAGTAGTTTCAGCGAAACGGTTTAATTTTTCGTTGTTGGAATGTGATGTAGTTTGAGCAGAATATTGCGAGTTCGGCTAGTTCATGAGCCTCCTCACCTGTATTCTCCTAAATCTGGCAAGAGGAATACGATTTTGAAGGTCGGATTAGGGAGGATTTGAGATCTTGAACGTAATAAAAAAGATCTTGAACGCATGGCCAACGTCTATACGCTCTTTACCTCTTAGCCCCAGAGTTCAAATTTGCCTCTCTCTCTCTCTCTCTCTCTCTCTCTCTCTCTCTCTCTCTCTATCGATCTGTAGATTAGAGAATTCAAACAGTTTCTGGGTCGAGATTACAGCAGTTCCCGTTTTGAATTTGACGATAGTGATGGATTGAATCTGCTTTTGAAGTACAAACAGATCTCCGAAGTGATCACTTTCAGGATGTGGCTTTTAGGTTTTGCTTTGTGTACAAGGCTTTGTTTATTGGTTCCCTGTTGGTTTATTGCTTTCACAGAGACTGGCTACTAAGTGTGTTGACGTAGAGTGAAGATAGTTGATTAATCTTGGTCATGGACACCGACACACTGAAATCTGTCTCAGATTTGCCTGTACCATTCCGTTCAGCTTTTAGTTTCAGGTAATATCCCGTCTCACTTGTTGTTTGTTGATAAATTGTGTTGGTTGTTCTTCGATCCTCTGTGTTGTAATTCCTCGTTGTTGCTTTTATGTGTCTTTCAGTTGCTGATTTCGCAAAATTTCAGTGTTCTTTGATCTTAATGTTATTTGCATCTGAATTGTTATGGATCATGATGATGATCTTTTGGAGTTCTCAATGGATGCGGATTTTTGTGTCTGATGTGTGCCTGTGTTGCTTCCGTCCCTTTTGTTTCAGGTACTTCAACTCGCTGCAGAGTGAGTGCTTTCCACTGTGCTTCCACTCGGATACAAACATGGTAATTTCAGCACCAACTGGAAGCGGTAAAACTGTGCTTTTCGAACTTTGCATTTTGAGGCTTCTCTCCAAGTCTATCTCCAAGGAAGGAAGGTTTTACCATGCTAAAGGAACTCTTAAAACAGTATGTTCTTGTCTGTACTATTCGCTATGTTATCTCCCCAACTTTGTCCAGTAAGTCTATCAATACTCTGTTTTGTTGTTCATAGTTTCTTTTATTTAACTTCCTTATGTTATTTGAAGGTTTACATATCCCCATCCAAGGCTTTAGTACAAGAGAAGTTACGGGACTGGAGCCAGAAGTTTAATTCGTGGGGCATTAATTGTCTGGAGTTGACAGGTGACAATGAAACCTACAACATAAGGAATATACAAGAGGCAGATATTATTTTGACTACACCTGAGGTAAATAGCCAAATTCAAATTCTCAGAGGTGCGCCTATGTTTAGCATATCTGTAATATAATGCCCCATTTTTGTGTCGCCGGATATTTGTGAAATTATATAAGTCCTTGGGTTCCCTGATTCTGGGCACTGAATTGTAGCTCTTCTCTTCACTGTCCATCTTTTCACTTGATTCTTAGTTGATTACCTACAGTTTTTTTTCCTGATACCCGACCTGAACGCAGTTACACAGGCAATTCATTACATTTCCATTATTCTTTCCATTATATATATGTTTGAACATTTGGGTAATTCAAGCATGGATAACATCGCCTCAGTTCATACATTTTCTGTTCAGAAATTTGATGCAGTGAGTCGGTATCGTGTAACCAGTGGAGGCTTAGGCTTTTTCAGTGATATAGCTCTTCTGCTTATTGATGAAGTTCACCTGCTCAATGATCCACGTGGAGCTGCTCTTGAGGCAATTGTCAGTAGAATAAAGATTCTTTCTAGTAGTCCTGAACTGAGATCAAGTCCTTTGGCCAATGTACGTCTTCTGGCTGTATCAGCTACAATTCCAAATATCGAGGATCTAGGTAAAATTTAGCTCAAAATCGTTTCATTTGCTGAGAAGCTTGTATAATTAATCATAATCTCTCTTGGTGTGTAGAAACTAAAAGCCAGTGATACTTTGTTTATGTGCTTTGTAATTGCAGCGGAGTGGCTCAAGGTTCCTGCCCCAGGTGTTAAGAGGTACATGTTTGTTATTGTGACAAATATTTCCTTTTTTCAGCAAGTTGTTGCTTTTGTCTCATTGAGACCTTCCTATATTTTATAGGTTCGGCGAAGAAATGAGACCTGTAAAGTTGACGACTAAAGTTTTTGGTATAACTAATGCCTTCAACTTTTGTTATCCTTGTCGATTTCTTTACTTTACCGTTTACCCCAAGCAACTGCAGTGTACCAGAAAACTAGCTCAGAGGGATGATTTTCTGTTTCCAAGATTTCTAAGGAAATATAATCACCTTTTTTTTTCAGGCTATGCAGCTGCGAAGAACGACTTTCTCTTTGAAAAGGCACACATTCACTACAACTTGCTTTTTATAGCCTTAGCCATTCTGCTTCTCCGCGTTATGAACTTTACAAAATAAAGAAGAATTAACTGAATCACTTCTTGTTTCCGCGTGCTTTCTGTGGTTCATATCCAGCGCCTCCAAAACTATATCTACGGTAAGCCAGAGATATCACAATATTATTTTGTTTCTGGTGTCTTTCTTAGTGTGCTGTCTTCCACTATTCTGAAGACTGGAATCACAAATTTGCAGACATTTTGATGCAATACTCAAAAGGAAAATCAGCCTTAGTTTTCTGTTCGACACGAAAAGGAGCACAAGAGGCAGCACAGCTACTTGCTCAGGTTGCAATGACTTATGGGTACTCAAACCCATTTATCAAAAGCAAAGAACAGCTTGACCGACTAAGAGAAGCTTCACTGGCATGTGGTGACAAACAAATGCAATCTTATATTCTCCTTGGTGGTATGCTCTATTTATCTGCTTCTTCAGCTTGTTGGTTGTAAACTTGCTTCGACATTGTTCTGCAAGTTGATGTGCATGATAACGCTTCAATTAGTTGGTTATCACAATGGTGGCCTTTCGCAAAAGGATCGGAGTCTTGTAGAGGGACTCTTCCTTTGTGGAGACGTCCAAGTTCTTTGCACCACCAACACTCTTGCTCATGGAATCAACTTGCCTGCACATACAGTCATCATAAAATCAACACAACATTTGTAAGTCTACCTCTGAAGCTGAACTTCTATGATTAGTAGTTATTTGGAATTTACCTTTATATTCTTCAAAATTGATCTTGTTTCAGTAACAAAGAAAAAGGTCTGTATATGGAGTATGATAGATCCATGATACTGCAGGTATGGAATTTGAGCTTGTAAAGCAGTGATACTGAAACTCGTTGAATTATCTAAACAGACCATCGGACTGTAGTCTCGAGGTCAAATAATTGATCTTTCTTTTTTAGATGTGCGGCAGGGCAGGAAGACCGCCCTTTGATGATACAGGAATGGTTATAATTATGACTAGAAGAGAAACAGTTATTTCCATGCATCTACTCTTTCCTAAACTCTTACTTTTATTTCCTCGTTTTGCATTATTCTCATTTGTGACATCACATGATTACAGGTTCATCTGTATGAGAATCTCTTGAGTGGATGTGAAATAGTTGAATCGCAGTATGTATCTGCCAATGAACTTCTGTTTTTTTTTTTTGTTTTCTATTTATGCAGTAAAAGCCGTTGATAGTTTTTATGAAATTGTCTTCTGTTGTTTTATGTTACAGATTGCTTCCATGCTTAACGGAGCACCTAACGGCAGAAATAGTTCAGCTTACTATCTCCGATATTACACGGGCAATTGAGTGGATGAAGTGCTCCTACTTGTACGTGAGAATGAAAAAGGTATGATCTCATGGTTCTTCTTGGTGATTTTCTCCATCAAATTGCTTTTTATCATATGACTTATTCTGGATACTGTTGTTGGACAGAACCCAGAGAACTATGCTATTAGGAAAGGAATTCCAAAAGATCGAGTAGAGAAGCATTTGCAAGGTAAGTTGTTTGCATAGTTACTGTAGTCATTCTCTGTTTATCTCACTTGTCTTATGTCCCTTCCAGAGGTTTGCGTTCAGAAGATCAGCGAGTTGTCACGCTATCAGATGATCTGGACTGACTCAGATGGTTTTGTTTTGAAACCACAAGGTGATAGAAATTGATGATATATTTTTTTTTGGCATTTCAAAATATATAAGATTTGTGTTTTTTTTTTCTGTAGAACCAGGACGGTTAATGACAAAGTACTATCTAAAATTCAACACAATGAAGTACATTATGCATGCGCCAGCAGTCTGCAGTTTGGAAGAAGCTCTTCATGTTGTATGCCGTGCCGAGGAGATTTCTTGTAAGTCAAATCTTTTTTAGTGATTAACTCCGCAAGTGAACGAATGAACTCATTGTCTTTACCTGGAGAAATGAAGGGATACAACTCAGACGCAACGAGAAGAAGACCTTAAACGATATAAACATGGACAAGGAAGGGCGACTGAGATTCCACGTCAATGATAATAAAGGAAAGCGAAAGAAACGCATCCAAACAAGGGAAGAGAAAGTATTTGTGCTGGTGAATGATTGGTTGACTGGGGATCCTTCAGCACATGATTTATCTATGACTCAGGTCCATCAGTTAAAACATACCTGTGGATCCTTTCCATTTTGTTATTAATCGCCCTTGATGCTTAGCTATGTCGTTACAAATTGAATCTTTGGCCACAGGATGCGAACTCGATATGTTCGAATGGATGCAGAATTGCTAGATGCATGAAGGAGTACTTTGTATACAAAAAGAATTACAAGGGTTTTTTAAGTTCAACCCTTCTAACCAAATCGCTCTATCAAAAGCTTTGGGATGACAGTCCATATTTGCTGAAACAATTGCTTGGCATTGGGATGGTTACAGCAAAGGTAATATTTATTTGATGTTTTTTCCCGTATGCGAGTGTATGCACCATGCCTGTCCCAGATGCTTCAGTGAATTCATTATCTCGGCATCTCGTGTATGAAACGAACCTCGTTTGCAGGCACTTCACTCAATGGGAGTCAGATCATTTGAAGCACTTGCTGAAGCTGATCCAAGGAGGATAGAGATTGTCACTGGTCGGAAATATCCTTTTGGGAATCACATCAAGGAGTCCCTATCGTCGCTTCCACCAAAAGTAGACATAACGGTCAGAGAAGTTGAATGCCAGAAGCAAGGCATATCGAAAATAGCAGTCACGTTGACAAGGCTGTCAGAGCCTCTCCAATCCACAAAACGACACTATGCTGATATGGTAGGTTCAATGCAACTTTATATGCTCCTAACATAACCCAGCCGAATACACTACATCTTCATGTATCCTTTTTCTGTTGCTCATGATTGATGAACCAAAAATAACTTCTAGATTATTTCATGATCTGTACTTTTTTCTGGCAGATTGTTGGTACAGAGGAAGAAAACCTCATCCATTTTCACGAGAAAATAAGGTACTGGGCTCATTTACAAAAAGATTTCCGATTAACCAAACTTCTCAGTGATTTTTCTCCAGTTACTTCACATAACCTTTCCTCCCATAGTCACCATCATGGTTGATTCAATATATTTTCTCAAGGCTCTTGTAGCATTTATATATCTGATCAAAGTTATTTTTATTGACTGCAGAATGGATGATTTCTCCAGGTATGCACACTTATCATCATTTGGACATCGTTAACCAAATGTTGCTCTTCATCTAACATTACAGCACGGCCACTTTCCTCATTGTTCCCTCATGACCTTAGCCCCTATAGCACAACCATACTCCTTGAAAGGCCTCAACAAGCAAAAGTGACCGTGAAGGTTGACCTCATATTTGAGGAATACAGTTAAGTTTTCTGAACGACTTTGATTGTCTTTTTTTTTTTTAATAAACGTTTGGATTGTCTTTTTTCTTTTACCTGTTTTGGAAGTAATGACTTGGCTTGTCTACGTAGCCAGAAATGCATATTAATATACTGAAGAACACATGGTTCTAGATTACCAACTTATCAAAATCACTTTTCGTGGATTTCGATTTTTTAGTTGGTCTTGATCTCCATGAGACACTTGTTCTGAAGAAGTGCAACAGCGCAAAAGTAAATTATGAACGCCGGACCAGTTTACCCCGACGTCATCCCTCTTCGGATGTGTGCAAAGTAGAGAAGGATAACAAAATTGAATCAAGCATGTCGGCCCAGAAGGATCAGAACACCTCCATGTGAGTACATCTTCTTTTGCTTCCTTAGCAGAAAGATTCTTTCTTTGTCCCAGGATCGCCAAGTTTTCATGGATCCAATTCTCTCCTGGAATTGGTTGTTGCCTTTGCAATTTCTGCAGGCCTACTTTCAAACTTATAGATGAAGATTCAGGAGAAGGTAAGACGATACATAAACACAGTTTTTGTACGGGTGCTTCTTTGCTTTGTCTTGCTCGATTCTTTTACCAGCTTCTAATTGTAAAATTTCCTTTCAGAGAATGAGCCTCATATTTCAATGGAAGAAGATGATTGCATGATCATCAACGAACGTACAGTCTTTGACCACATACGTGAAAAGGCAAAGCGCTTTCCCTCATTGAGCACTTGGAATCCCGCCTCTCCAACACCAGAAAAACCAACTCGGAAAAGAAATAGCTTACGGGGGGAATTTCCTGAACTCAGTGCTGAATTCCATGCTTCTCAAGAAACACCGAGAAATCAAATTCCGCAAGATCCTATGTTGCGTACAGATGCTAAAGACGATGAACAAAATATAAACCCTGCGGAGAACCAAGGTAAACCTTTGTTTTCATCTCATCCCCTTTAACGATCATTCTGCATAGCCTCTAACTCGTAGCTCTCATGCATGGTCTCTCAACCCGAAGGTGAAACGCAAAGGCCATTCTCGGGTGAAACAATATTCGATCACATTCGGAAAAAGTCAAAGAATTTCCCGGTGCTCAACGCATCGAAGATCGACCATCCACAGAACTTCCTCCCTCGAAGCAATCACTCAGGTATCGAACACCTAAACGCAGATCCTATAATCATTTCTTGTCTAGAAGGTGGGAACGCAGAGGCCATTTCCTCAGAGAATTGCAGTAGAGCGTACGGAATGCTTAGCCCTTCTCTGAAAAGGGCAAGCGTCGCTCTTGATCCGTCACCCGTGGAAATGCTGTCCTTTGATATTTCAATGATGAAGAGAAACACCAAGCAGGAGGAGGAGCTTGGGTCATCTCAGTTCAATACCATGAAGCGTAAAGGCCTTTGCTCGTTGGTCCCAGGTAAGTCCGACGACTCTGATTCTTTTCTTGGATTCAAGAGCATCTTCTCGTTCCTTTGATTTCCTCGTTCCATTTAGTCCACCTTGTTAATCGGCATCTACACACCCCTCAAGAAAAATAAAAGAGCATTTAGAAAACAATAGGAACCCATTAGGGCGAAGAAAAAAGGCACAAATAATGGGCTCTAACTTCTTTGTAAGTAGTGATATGCTTAAGGAAAATATTCGGCCCAAATAAGCCATAGATGGGCCGAAGAAGAAAACACTTTTCCTCAAAGAGAACTACGTGCTGTTCACTAAGTTCTCAAACGAACTGCATGGCGTCTGGGATACAAAAATTAGCTAAACCTTTTTTCCGACCCCACGGTACCTCTCCACTAACGGTACTGAAGCAACCCACCAACTAGAGGATAAGACGCGTCAGCTTCACCCGTCGCTTCAACTTTTCTAACGAACCATAGGAAAACAAAATTCAAAATAAATTAAAAGAAAACGACTTTCCATACCTCACCGTCACCGCCCATGGGAAAAAGGAGAAAGGAGACGTGATCTTTGAAGAGTAGAGGCCAGAAAGATTTTGAGCCCCTGGTGCCTGAAATCTAGGAAACACCCTGAACCCAATCCTTGCATAACATGTGTAATGCTAAAGAGTGAACAAATTCAACGTGGCAGATTTTTGGACCGGTTAGTTTAGAACCCAGTAGGATTTTTTAGTTCCGTATCGACTAAGTAAGATGAATAGGACAACAACACGTTCTTAAGGGGGTTATCAGAGCATTAATTTTCTGAAAAATATAACAATATTTCAGGAGTTCTATTTTCATAAGTATGGTCAGCGTAATATTAAAAAATATAGGCATTGAATAAGTCTGTATTTATCTAAATTTTGTAAAATATTAAAAGAAAGTCAATATTTATAAAAACAAATTCTAAGAATCGAAGAAATATATAGAAATGAAAATTTTGGAAACATACGAAGCCTTTTTATCAAAAAGAATGGAAAGAAAAAGGTTAGACTGCTGAGATTTAACTGTAGGTCAACGAGACTGATTCACTTTTTCAAATATTATTGATCAAATAACTGGAAGGAGGTATTAATTACTACTTCTAGTAGATCAGCAAGTGTCAAATGCCAAAGAAATGGATAGCGTGATCTTGTCTCAGGTTTCTATTATGGACGGTGTAGCAGTGAGTATGTACGCAGGTAACATGTGGAAACTACGTAAAAGGATTAGTGTGTAATTTTTTTGTGAGAAAAAATTTACTGTTTAGGTTTTTAGTAAACATCTGTCTCGGTTGTGGTTGATTAACGGCGTTAGGTGTAGCTACTTGGCCTAGTCTTACCTTAGTTGTTTGTCTGCACTTCGGTGTCGGTGGACAAATATAACTGCTTCTAACGACCGTTGGGTTTCTTTGATTCAAGTCTCTGTGGCTTTGTTTGAGGCTTCCACGTGTACAGAAAGGGTATCCAACCCGAACGGGTACTGACTCGCCCTTGGTCGGTCGTCATCGGATAAATTACGACCGTCCACGTGGCATATGCGGAAACGGGACTTTGAATTTTCTTGGGTGAGATAATATAAGTAATTCATGTGTATACATGTACACGCATATGTGTATTTTTATGGTAATTCGAAATTAAATTTAATATGACAAAGAATACTTTGTGGTTTAGGCTTTTGGAGGCCACGTATACTCTAGAAGCCCACTGGGGACCCACGAGCTGATAAGTAAACCCAAACCTTTCCTGTGACATATTACTTTTTGAGTAAGATGTAAACATAAGATGAAGTGAAAAAAGGATAGGTTTAACTTTGAGGCAGGGTTATTTATTCGAGTGAAAAAAAGTTGCAGGGTTGTTAAAATGATGTACTACGAAACATCGATTACATACACAAAAAGGAGGGTTTAAAAATATAAATTGGACTGCGGAATTTGAACCAAGTTTGAATCCTGTCCATTGTTTGTTTGGTCAATTCTAGAATAAGATATATATACATACAATATAAGAGTTTGAGATTTTTAATTTTATTTGGTCATACTCACCTCCATCATAATAAATATAATTTCAAACACAATAAAATATAGGGTTCGACTGGTTGTACCGCAGCGGTTGTAGTTGCGGGTGACAGCGTTTTCAAAACGTTTGATAGCGATTATAAATGATTAGTACTGACTGGTTGAGAAGTTGCTGTTGGTAGCGATTGCGGGTGGGTACAGTTAGAAGTGAATGGTTCATTACGGTTGCGATTGCATTTTGATATAAATTGTCAAAAAAAATATTATTTAAAAATAATTTTTTATAATAGTTTTAATTAAAATTTTTGTATCATTTTATAAAAATTATTTACTAAATTTATAATTGTCAAAACGCCGGAAACCGCTACCAAAACGCAAGTTGGAAGCTGCGATTAGAAAACACAAGTTTGGTTGCGGTTGCGGTTGGTTACGGTTCAACCAATCAGTTTTTCAATCGTCCGTAATCGCCGAAAATCGCAACCGCTCCGTTTGCGGGTGGCGGCGGTGCAACCCGTCGGCCCCATAAAAGCAATTCAATTAGAATACAATCATGACAATATATTAATTAACCCCCAATAAATACCAATGAGACGATACGTATATATACCGTAATAATATCAAAATATTTTCCAGGGTATAATAATATATCAAAATTCATACAAATATATATATATATATATATATATCAAAATGTTTGTTCTAGCTGCTTAGTCACGGCCCGGAGGGAACCCAGAACAAGGACACTTGTCACCAAACTATAAGCCTCAGAATCAACCAATATCTCAAATCTTCGGTCATTAACTTCAACGAATACTAAAATATATTAACGCCTGCGAAAAATATTAATTTAAAGCAATAAATATACAGAAATACAATAAAATATGGGAAAAGGAGAAAGAGAGAGGCCCACCTTTCACGCCTTCGTTCGTCCCGACCTCAAAGCACAATTCCTCAATCTATAAATATGGCCATTTCCCATCCTCGTGACGACCCAAATCTCGATCATATATTATCAAGCCTTTATTGCCATTTAGAAAATCCATTCTGTAAATCCTCTAGATTCACATATATTCTTCTTTCAATACATTTTCCTAATATTCGTACCATTGTTATTTTTTATATACACGCGTACATATACTCGATTTCTTTCACTAACCCCACAAAACACACAATACAAAAACCAAACCTTTTCTTCCTCTTGAAGTTCACCGGAGATGGCTCCACCGAGTCTGAACAACTCCAACTCCCGCGTCAATGGCGTCGACGTCACCACAATGCCTCTTTTCTGTCTTAAAGATTCCGACATCCTCGTCAATGGCCACGCCATCCTCACCGACGTCCCCACCAACGTCACCCTCACCCCTTCGCCGTACTCCGCCGACAAAGACGGCGAACCTATCTCCGCCGCCGCTGGTTCCTTCGTCGGCTTCTCCTCCGCGGAGCCCCAGAGCCGTCACGTGGCGTCTGTCGGAAAGCTCAGGAACATCAGGTTCATGAGCATATTCCGGTTCAAGGTCTGGTGGACTACTCACTGGGTCGGATCCAACGGTCGGGACATCGAGAACGAGACCCAGTTCCTCATCCTCGACAAATCCGGGTCCGGGTCGGGTCACGACGACGAGACAGGATCCGGGTCGGGTCGTCCGTACGTCCTTGTCCTGCCCCTTGTCGAAGGCTCCTTCAGATCGTGTCTCCAACCCGGAGACGACGATAACATGGACCTCTGCGTGGAAAGCGGGTCGACCCGGGTGACGTCATCGGAGTTTCAGAGGATTTTGTATCTTCACGCAGGAGACGACCCGTTCAAGCTCGTGAAAGACGCCATGAAAGTGATCAGGGCTCATCTGAACACTTTCAAACTTCTGGAGGAGAAATCGCCTCCTGGAATCGTCGACAAATTCGGGTGGTGCACTTGGGATGCGTTCTACTTGACGGTTCATCCTGACGGCGTTTATAACGGCGTTAAGGGTCTCGTTGACGGAGGTTGTCCTCCGGGACTGGTCCTCATCGACGATGGTTGGCAATCCATCGGACATGATTCTGATCCCATCACTGTGGAAGGGATGAACTGTACGGTCGCCGGAGAGCAAATGCCTTGCAGGTTCGTACATCAGTTTTTCTATTGCTCTGTTTCTGTCCGTTCTGTTTCCCGGTATTGTCAGTTGTTTGGTTCTTAGAAAACCTCGTGTTTTATAACCGGTTTATTCATCCGGTTTGTGTGTGACTTTGCAAACGTAGTCTGAAACTCAACCATGGGTTTGCTCGGTTTAGCTCTAGTGTTCAGCATACGTACCGGCCCGGTTTAATATTGGTTTTTAAAATGCTGATACCGGTTTTTGTTCAGGCTTCTAAAGTTCCAAGAGAATTACAAATTCAAAGAGTACGTATCACAAAAGGACCCTAACAAGAAAGGAATAGAAGCTTTCGTGAAAGATCTAAAGGATGAATTCGCGACCGTTGATTACATCTACGTGTGGCATGCTCTCTGCGGCTACTGGGGCGGTCTCCGGCCAGATTCTCCGGCGCTTCCGCCGTCGGTTGTGGTCCGACCGGAACTCTCTCCCGGTTTGAAACTGACGATGGAAGATCTCGCCGTCGACAAGATCGTCGATACCGGCATCGGACTTGTCGCACCGGAGATCGCCGACCAGCTCTATGAAGGCCTTCACTCTCATCTCAAAAACGTCGGCATTGACGGCGTTAAAGTCGACGTTATTCACGTAACTATCAATTCAAATCTCTGAAAATCTTCGTTAGTTATTGTGAAAAAGTAAACAAATCATTTCGGTTTTGTTTTGATGGATGATACAGCTGTTGGAGATGCTTTGTGAGAATTACGGCGGGAGAGTGGACCTGGCGAAAGCTTATTTCAAGGCGTTAACGGCGTCAGTGAAGAAGCACTTCAACGGTAACGGCGTTATCGCCAGCATGGAGCATTGCAATGACTTCATGTTCCTCGGGACCGAAGCCATCTGCCTTGGTCGTGTTGGTATGTCTTTTTCTTCTTCTTCCAACACTTATCCATTAAATTTTCCACTTGAATATATATCATAACCGTATACTACTCGCTATATATATAATAATAATAATAATAATAATAATAATAATAATAATAATAATAATAATAATAATAATAATAATAATAATAATAATAATAAATTGTTCTATAGAATGATACAGAGCAATTCTGCATATCCACACACACATTATATATATATATATAAATGTTTTTTTACATATTACACAATCCACTAGCCTACCAATAAAAGCGACATTAATTATTCAATTTGTTACCAAACATATGGTCTACTTGCGCTTTTCACGTTTCTTCTAGAGAAATCCATTCATATTGCTTTTTTCTCCTCGCTAATAAAGTGCCGTTAATTTTTTTTATTATCAAATGAACCCTTAATTTAATCATATTAATTTTGGTAATTAATTAGTTTTGCTAACGTTTCAATTTTAAATTATGTGAAAAAGGTGATGATTTCTGGTGTACGGACCCGTCGGGGGATCCAAACGGAACGTTCTGGCTACAAGGATGTCACATGGTGCATTGCGCATACAACAGCCTGTGGATGGGGAACTTCATCCAGCCGGACTGGGACATGTTCCAATCGACCCACCCTTGCGCCAGTTTCCACGCCGCCTCCCGAGCCATCTCGGGCGGTCCCATCTACGTCAGCGACTCGGTCGGCCAACACGACTTCGGCCTCTTGAAACGTCTCGTCCTGCCCGACGGCTCCATCCTCAGGTGCGAGTATTACGCCCTCCCTACCCGCGACTGCTTGTTCGACGACCCTCTTCACGACGGCAAGACCATGCTCAAGATCTGGAACTTGAACAAGGTACGTCCCTTATCTTGGGTTTTTAAAACGGGCCTTTGTTGGGCCGTTTTGGGCTTAATAGAGGCTTTATTGGGCTTTACTCTCTTTCTTTTCGGTGTTCGACTTTATTCGGTCTGCTCTCATGAATCTAATTCACCCAACTTAGGGTAAGCCCATGACCCCAATACAGTCCAAAAGGGTAACTAATTCGAGCCCTTTTGGGTTTAGGGGCGATTTCGGCCGATTTATTTCGTCATATATTAATTTATTTGCATTCGTTTATTGGCTCCATTTCTAATCTTTTTTCATTGCTCATTTTCGAATTCTCCGACAGTACACCGGAGTGATCGGAATGTTCAACTGCCAAGGAGGAGGATGGTGCCGAGAGACCAGACGTAACCAATGCTACTCTCAGTACTCTAAAACCATCACTGCTTCTACTAACCCCAAGGACGTCGAATGGGACAGCGGCAGTAACCCTATCTCCGTCGAAAACGTCCAAGTCTTCGCCATGTTCTTGTCTCAGTCCAAGAAGCTGATCCTGTCCGAGCCCACCGACGATCTTGAAATCACGTTACAGCCCTTTGAGTTCGAGCTCATCACAGTGTCCTCCGTCGTGACCCTCAAGGGCAACTCTGTCCAATTTGCACCGATCGGTCTTGTGAACATGCTCAACACCGGCGGTGCAATTCGGTCATTGGTGTATCACGATGAATCCGTCGAGATCGGAGTTAAGGGTGCCGGAGAATTTAGGGTTTATGCCTCCAGGAAGCCGGTGAGCTGCAAGATTGATGGAGAAAGTGTGGAGTTTGAATATGAAGACAGTATGGTGTCGGTTCAAGTGCCTTGGTCTGATTCAGAGGGTTTGTCCTCGGTCAAGTATTTGTTTTAGAGTTCAGATAGTGGACTTTTATTTTCTATTTTATTTTGTTGGGCTTTTTTTTTCTAAGCCCACTTTGTTCTATTTAATGATTTGAAAGTGGTGATAAAATACCCCACTAGGGGGAGAATTATTCGAGGTATGATTTGTAATGCCACTGCTATTGTTGTGTTTACTTATTAATATATTGCGATTTTATAAATGTTTGTGTTTTTAAATATATTTTTTTCTATATACTCTAAATTGTACTTAATATGTGAAATTTTTATATTATTGTCATATTCTAAAATACGCGTATTAACATGTTTAATAGTGAATAATATTTTTTTTTTAATCAGGATGATTTTCCGAACATTCGGCTCGACTATATCCATCCATATACGGACTATTTTGGTCCAGAAATTATATCATTTTCCAGTAGTAGAATCGAACCCAAGACTTTAAAGATGATTCTGTAACAATAAATAGTATTGATATGTGAAAGCATTTAAGAAAAGACAAATTCATTGTATGCTTAGGGTCTCTCAACTTTGTTCACGTGAAGTTATATTGCCTGATGGTGATGCCAAAAAACACCATTTGTAAACGAGCTTTGATAATTTACCCATGCTCCATGTCAAACACAGTTGAAAAATATAGATACAGGGGAGAAATAATATAAAACGTTGGGGTCAAAATGTAAATATCAAAAAGATTTGGGACAGCAAGCAAACCCAGGCTTCCAGTTTGAGTTCCTCCTTCCTCTCATCATCGCCTTTCCTTGTTTTTTTCACTGCAGATTTTTGTTTTGATAAAATAACGTTACCTCTCTCTCTCTCTGCTATTCCTAAGCTCCTTGAAACCCTTAGCGACGACGGAGCAGTCGCCACCGGCGACGTGAATTCAGGTCTATCGTAGATTCTTTTCCCGTCGAACGGAGAGAAATCTCCGCCGCGGATTGCTTCTAATTCACGATCCGCCGCGCCTTCTGCTCGTTATTTTTTGTTCCCTACAAAGCGACATTAATTATTCAATTTGTTACCAAACATATGGTCTACTTGCGCTTTTCACGTTTCTTCTAGAGAAATCCATTCATATTGCTTTTTTCTCCTCGCTAATAAAGTGCCGTTAATTTTTTTTATTATCAAATGAACCCTTAATTTAATCATATTAATTTTGGTAATTAATTAGTTTTGCTAACGTTTCAATTTTAAATTATGTGAAAAAGGTGATGATTTCTGGTGTACGGACCCGTCGGGGGATCCAAACGGAACGTTCTGGCTACAAGGATGTCACATGGTGCATTGCGCATACAACAGCCTGTGGATGGGGAACTTCATCCAGCCGGACTGGGACATGTTCCAATCGACCCACCCTTGCCTATTTGCGCTAGAGAGAGCGGCATAGTCATTGGTCGCTCCGATCGTCTTGGAAGAATCCGTAAGATATTGTTTTCTATATCACTTCTCATTTCTTAATCTGTGTTTGAGTTTTCCGTATAAACCCTAAGTTCACTGCTACTATTTATTGTTCCCTGGCGCTTTGTGATCGAGTAGGGTTTTCCTGTGGTGGAAATTAAGAGCGTAATCTAATCTTTTGTGCGCAGTATGAACCGTACTGCTTTAGATTGATTTGTTGGATCTTGGGAGTTGGTCTGTTGTTTCAAATCAATTAGGGAAAGTTGAGAAAATTGCAATTGTTGTTGAGTATCGATTGTACATCGAGTACATTAGGGTTTCAAAGAGGATAATTCTATTAACGTCTGTTCTATAAGATTATGTGAAGAATTTGGGCCTCGTTTTTCTATTTGATATATTTGTTTTTGTGCATTAATTTGACGGACATTATTATTAAACTGTTTCAGAATTTTGTATCAGATACCACAAGCTCTGTGGTTCCTAGAGGATAAATGGAAGTTTCTGTTTCCTCTCAGAAACAAAGCGTGATATCCCCTCCCGAGTGTATGAGTGATCCCGAGGAGCAGGAAATCAGCGAGGAGGAGGATGATGATCGCAACCATAAGCATCGTAGGAGAGAGACAAGGTCTCAGTCCTTGGAACGAGATAGTTCAGATCAAGTTGTTTTCACAAGGCCTTACAGGAAAAACAATATACATTTTGAAAATGGGAATTCTTTTAATCAACATCAAAAACGACATCCAGGTGCAGCAAATGTTCGGTTTGATTCAAACCAAAGAATAAGATCAAACCATACTTTTTCAAGGGACACTGGTCCTGGTAGAGGTGGAGGGAGAGGCTATGGTTCCTGGGCACAGCGTGATTCCAGGTTCAACCCTGTTGATCTCTCATCTCATATGGTCCAAGTTGGGTCTATGACTCCGGGATTTTTTGGAGGAAGAGGGTTATCTGGTGTTTCAACCGCACAAAATTCACCATGGCCTGCTTTTGGAATGCTTCCTGGGGTTCCAACTGGTGGCCTAGATACTCTCCATCCAATTGGCTTGCAAGGGTCTCTAAGACCGCCCTTAAATTCTCAACTCAACCTTGGTATTCAACAACGGTGTAGAGACTTTGAGGAGCGTGGATTCTGTCTAAGAGGAGACATGTGTCTCATGGAGCATGGAGTCAATCGCATTGTCGTTGATGATGTTCAGGTAGCTTTTTTCCTTCCAAGTTGCTTGAATGCTTTTCTTTCCAATATTTTGGAAAAAGATCTTTCGCTAAATCATTTAGTGATTTCGTGCAGAGTCTTTCCCAATTCAATCTTCCTGTTTCGCTCCCTGGCGCACCTCTTCTGGCAGCTCCATCTAAAGCAGTGCCCACACATTTTGGCAGCTCTTCTGCATTTATGAGTGCTAAAGGGGCTAATGGAAAAAATAATGAGTCTGGAATGACTGTTGATGGTTTGGGTTATGGGGATCCATATCCCGCCGCTGCTGGAACTGATTTTTATGACCCTGATCAACCTTTATGGAACAACAGCACTGGTGAAACTTCAGGTGCAATATCTGGCCGAAATCCAAATGGCATTGATGAAACTGTAGCTACACTGGATTGCGATAACCAAGATGTAGCTGAAAATGCGTGTGGTATAAGAAACTCTAGGAGCACTAGGAAATCTGTTTGGGGTCAAATCTGTGGTTCAAACAGTCAAGGGAATTTCAAAGAGAAAGGTAACTCAGCATTGAATTCATCGATTGGTCTTGAAGATGAAGTCAAGGAGGTCTCTATCAGTTCATCAAGGCAAGGAAAGCGGAATCTTGCTGGTGAAACAGTTGCCAAATTTGATTCATCAAAGGCACCTAACGATGCGACAACCAATACAAGAAAACATGGTCAAAAGGCCATGCGAACACTATTTGTCAATGGGGTTCCCGGGGAGAGCAACAAGAGGGACCTTCTTCTTGCCCATTTTCAGAAATTTGGGAATGTTATTGACATTCGTATCCCCTTAAACAGTGAGCGAGCATTTGTTCAGTTCTCTAAGCGTGAAGAGGCTGAAGCTGCTCTCAAGGCACCTGATGCTGTAATGGGTAACCGCTTTATCAAACTTTGGTGGGCAAATTGGGATAGTATCCAAGATAATGGCCCGAACACTGGAAATGGTGCATCTCTGACTCGCCGTGGTATGATATCTGCCGGAGGACAAAACAAATTTCCTATTACTCCAACATCAACGAGCAACCATGCATCTACAGGTCCGAAGGGTCCTGGGGAAGCTCCATCCTCCTGTGAGCAGCCTAAGCTGGTGGTCAGTAATGGTCCTAAGGTGCCACCTCTGCAGAAAAAATCAGAAGCTCTCGAGCAGCTGAAGGAGGAACTTCGGAAAAAGCAGGAAATGCTGGAGCAGAAGCGTAATGAATTCCGCAAACAGTTGGCCAAATTCGAAAAACAAGTAAGAACTAGTAACCAAATCTTGTTTTGAATCAGTTTTATTACATGACTTTCTTTTAAAAGGATTTTCAATCAGGTGGATGTATTTAATCTGAAGAGAAATTGAAATCTGGGTACTGGCATAATAGGATTTAATATCTCACAAGTGCTTCTTGAAAGCTAAAAATTATGTAAAATTCTAGACAAATTGTAGACCAGAATATAGCTTGACTTATGCGAGTTGAGTTTGGCTATGAAGAGAGTCAAGTATATCATTTCGGCTGTTTTCAGTTGATGATCTGTTGTTTGTGTATTTACGAGAAGAGAGTTGTTTCACCTGAACAAAATTGTCTACTCTTTATCATTCCATAACACACAAATTTGTCTACTCTTTTATCATCCCACGACTCTGTGTATGAAGCAATTTTGTTTTGTAAGGTCTTTTTCCTCTGTCTCTAACCCTGCTCTTAAATTTTCCTCAGGCTACCGTCATCAAGGATGACGAAGCTGAGGAGCAGTCTGTTAAGCGCCTTAAAACGGGTACCCCTGCTGACCTGAGTGCTGCCTCTCCCCCGACAAAGCCGAAACTGGAGTCTCTAACAGAGAAGAGTAAACTTGCCCAGAATCCGATGTCCAACTTTAAGCTAAACACAGAAACATGGTTGCAAGAACCGAAAAACTCGAAACCACAAACTTATCCCTTTGCAGCAAGTATGAACACTCCTATGGTGAATAGGTATAAGTTGGACAATCGCACCACTACCATCAAAGTTGCTCCCCCTTTACCTACTGGGTTAGCTGACGTATGTTCCCTTTTTCTTCTTTCTAATTCCTTGTCTATCCATTTCAAATAACGTCTTCATGTTCATCTGATTAGAGAGAAAACCGAGCCTTTTGCCACACTTTTTCTTCGCAATTCATATACGCTGGTTTTTACTTTTCTGCCGGGATATTTATTTAGTCACTCATGGGCTGATGATTTCGAACTCCTATGCTCCTTTCAGGTCGATGTCTTAAAAGAATACTTCTCTTCCTTTGGGGAAGTTAGCAAAGTGGAGATAGAAGATGAAGGGCCCAGTGGCGATAATACCAAAGAAGGGGATGATACATCTAACGAAAACCTTACAGCACATGTTACCTTTGCGAAACGCAGTGCGGCCGAGAAGGCGTTTGCCAATGCAAAGTGTTGGCAAGGACACGTCTTGCGGTTCGTGTGGGTAACAACACGACAAACCGGCAAAGAGGATAATCCCTCTGTATCCAACTCAGACAAGTCATCTTCTGTTCATAGTGACCCAAAAGCTGTAGAATCGTCTCCGGTCTCCAACATTAAAGAATCTTCCGTGGGAACTTCTGACGATAAGAATGTTGTTTCCGGGGACGATGCTTCTGAGAAACAAGAGAAGGAAGGAATCGAGATAGAGACCTCCGAGCTGATGGAAGCTTCTGAGGCCACGGGAATGGAGGAAGAGCAACAGCCGTTAGGATCAAATCTTGACGGATGATTATGGTCGCATGGTCAGGGCTGTTGTAGAGCGAGGTAATATTTGTCTCCAAACTCTTTTTTTTTTTTTTGGCATAGTGATTGTTTCTTCTGGGTTTAAGGGCAGTTGGTTAAACATTATTATTTTTTGTTTGGATGCGATATATTATCTATTAAGGGTTATTTTTTCAGTGATTAGAGGATGTAAAAAGAACTAAGAGAAACGAGAAATCGTTGGCTCCTTGACTGTGTAGCAGCTAACCCTTGTTTTCCAGCTGATAGCATTGTGGGGAACAAAATTTACACTCTGGATTTTTTCCTTCTCCCATGGTCATGCCGTCTGGTACAAAGGTGGCTTTTATGTAGCTTCTCGAGGTTATAATGATATAAGAAACATATAAACGGCACGCATTCCGGTCATTGTGAGATTGAAGATGATTTTGTCTTAGAGATGTACGCAACTCGATCTTAAGCAGTGAAAATAAAATGTCTTGAAAGCAAAAAAAAATGTCGTCAAAAAAAGACACATTTAATGAAGCGAGTCAAATAAAAAAAATTCATTCATCGGGCAAATGTTAAACATGAAGGCCTTTGAGACCCGCCGTGATAACCCACTGGACTTATCACCTATTTAGAAACTCAATGGGCCTTTGTTGGGCCTAAAGACTCGTTAGATAGTCCGCGAGGCCACTAAATGGGCCTCAAATGCAAAATATATGCCCTCCAGAAAATTTCAGGGAAAAATATTTTTAGATGCTTTTCGTTTTTAACTTTTAATCAATGAGAAGTTTGATTAATTTTATTTTCTTTTACTTAATCTCTTCTAACTTTTTTGGTCTGGTCTGATTTTTCATATATTTTAATTCTTGCAGTGAACGTTCAGTCTTTTCTTTAAAATTTTCTAAGTTTTTGCAACTAAGAAATTCACGATTTGGATTTTCAGCTATCTATTTTTTGATGTTTTCATTTCAATATAATTTTATAGATAATAGTCTGTTTTGTTCCCTTTTCTGATTTGTCACAATATTTTCCGTTCTGTTTGATTCGTATTTCTGATTTTAAAGTTTTTAATTCTTTATTTAGAATTTAGTATAAATTGTGCGGGCTTAATAATGTTGTGTGGGCATGAGGGGTGTAAGGAGCCCATCGCACAAGCCCATTCTCTTCTCCAACAAAAAGCTCCGTAAAGAAAAGGCTCACGCGCTCTTTTCTTAGAATTTTCGAAAAACGCCGATTTTGGTGGGTTATAGTCCAGCGGTTTTCTGGCGGTGGCGTCCACGCGCTCCACCTGCGCGTACGAATATTTGTCCTTTTTATCAATTTTTTTTTTTTTATCACGTCCATATTTTTGCAGAGTTAATGTGAGGATTTGTTTTCCCCAAATTTGTTTTTTATGTACTATTTTGTGCGTTATTTATTAAAAGCTTGTAAATGAAACAACTATTGATTGACAGTTTGAACTTTCCATCTAAATTATTTTAAAATATATATTTTAATTGAATTGAATTTGACATTCTTGTTTCGGTGAATTTGCGGATTGAATGAAAACTAATACTATAAATCAGCTGCCTTTTCAACTGGAAGATTCCAAATACAGCTAAAAGTTTTTTAATATTGAATTTGTTAACATTCTACTTAATATGTATAAATTCTAATTTTGTTAGAGAAAATAGCAAAAAAAAATATATCCAACTATTTTCTATAATTCATTTTTTAGACAATTAATATTCAAAATTTTCTCTTAACAAAAATCTCATATATATATATATATATATATATATATATAAATTAAAAATAATCAATGTCTAATCTAAGTAAAAATTGACATAAAAATATCAAAGGATAAACTAAAAAAATCACTAAAAATCTTTCACTTTAAATTTTTATAAAAAACTACAAAAACCATCAAATATTAATCTTAATAAAAATTCATCAACTATCTAATTAATTTGAATAGATATGGGCCTTTTTGTAAAACTATAATATTTTATTTTAATTTTATTTTAAAAATCTATAAATTTGAATAGGAAAACAAATATAAATTATACAATTCTAAAAATTACAAAAAATATCATATTTTTATATAAATTTATCATATTGTTAGTGTTTTGAATTATATTGATTATAAATATTATATTTAAAATTAATCATATACTAATATTTTAAATATTGTAAATTATCAATATAATTTTTTATAAAAATTTTAATAATTAAAATATTATATAATGTATAATTACATATAAATTAATTATATAATAGATAATATATTTTTAGAGTTAAATAAAAATAGAATATTTTTATATATAATTTTATATTAATTGATAAATTTTTATATGTAAATAAGAAGTTTTTGAAAAAGAAATATATTTGATTTAAAAAAAATATATAAATTTTTATATTTAAATCAATAAAAATATTTTTTTAATTTTAAATGTATAAAGAGGGTTATTTTTAAGATATAATAAATTTAAATAAATATTATGTATTTTTACTTTTTTTAAAAATATCTAATTTATATTTTTTTAATTCGAATTTTATACAATTTTATAATAAAATCAAAATAAAATATTTTTAATAATTTAGAATTGGTTGGATTTTTAAACTAAACTTGATATTTGTTTATGTTAATTTCTAATTGAAATTTTGTTTTTAAACATTTTATTTAAGGGGTAATAGCAAAAAAAAACATGAACTTTGTGTATTTGGCAAATAGATACACAAACTTTTATTTTGGTAATAAAATACACAAACTTTTATATTTTTAGCATAAACCTCTACGAACAATAACGACGTAAAAAAAAATAACGGAACCATCAACACGTCATCTATATTTGTGAATATCCGTATTCGATATAAAAATTATAAAATTTTAAATTAAAATTAAAAAACAATTTTAAATATAAATAAATTATATAGGTCATTTATATTAAAATTTTAAAATTTAAATATTTAACATCAATATAAATATAAATATAATCATAATCTATCATATACAATTATATATGTCATTTATATTAAAATTTTAAAATTTAAATATTTAAAATCAATATAAATATAAATATAATCATAATTTATCGTATACAAATATATTCAAAGTTTAAACATTCTAAATCTCAATTATTTAAAATCAATATAAATATAAATATTCAGATATCCAGAACGTACGAATCGGATACAGATATTTATTTTGAAATATTTGTCGGTTACGGATCAGATACGAATATCAAATTCGAATTATACGACATATTCAATCTGATTCGTACTAATTAATAATACTATTAAATATAAGAATAATTTGGTATAGAAATTTAAAATACTTTATATTTACATGTTTTGTAGATATATTTAAGAAATATTTTATATAATTGAGATTTAGAATGTTTAAACTTTGAATACATTTGTATATGATAGATTATGATTATATTTATATTTATATTGATTTTAAATAATTGAGATTTAGAATGTTTAAACTTTGAATATATTTGTATACGATAAATTATGATTATATTTATATTTATATTGATTTTAAATATTTAAATTTTAAAATTTGAATATAAATGACCTATATAACTTATTTATATTTCAAATTATTTTTTAATTTTAATTTAAAATTTTATAATTTTTATATCGGATACGGATATTCACAAATATAGATGACGTGTTGATGGTTCCGTTATTTTTTACGTCGTTATTGTTCGTGGAGCGCTAAAAATATAAAAGTTTGTGTATTTTATTACCAAAATAAAAATTTGTGTATTTATTTGCCAAATAAAAAAAGTTCATTTTTTTCTGCCATTATTCCAAAAGTTTGTGTATTTTATTACCAAAATAAAAGTTTGTGTATTTATTTTCCAAATAAAAAAAGTTCATGTTTTAAAAAAAAATATATATAAATTTTTATATTTAAATCAATAAAAATATTTTTTAATTTTAAATGTATAAAGAATTATTATATAAAATATTATGTTTATAAATATTTATATTAATGTTAAATATTAAGATATAATAAATTTAAATAAATATTATGTATTTTTCCTTTTTTAAAAATTATATAATTTATATTTTTTTAATTCAAATTTTATACAATTTTATAATAAAATCAAAATAAAATATTTTTAATAATTTAGAATTGGTTGGATTTTTAAACTAAACTTGATATTTGTTTATGTTAATTTCTAATTGAAATTTTGCTTTTAAACATTTTATTTAATTGATAGTCATTCTTTTTGAATAAAAAATAACAATTTTGGTTTATTATAATGAATTTTAAATAAAAAAAAATTGTGTAAATAAAATAGTTAATGATTTTTTTGGATTTGTCCCCCATATCACTCATTAATTTTTATGTTTACGAATACAATGGATGCTGCGAGTGTGATCGCCAAAAGCAAGGATCTAAAGACTTCATTTCAACATGAAGTCTCTAATTGCTAATCAGACATCACGCTGTTAATCTGCTCAAACCTTGGATCATGTACTTACATGTTAAGCTGTTTGGAACAAACCCAAGTCTCTGCATTCTTTCCTGAAGACATATCAGCTTATCTGCAGCGTCGCCCCCTTCAGAGATCGCTTTCACCACCGAATTATAACTTCCAGTGTCAAATATCCCAAACTCTCTAGCAAAATAACCCAACAGACTCTCTGCTTTATCGAAATTTAGTTCCTTGCAGTATCCATCAATCAGAGCCCCGCATATATAAGCATCGGGTTTCAATTTCGAGTCAAGCATTTCCATCATCAGGGACTCGGCTTCAGGATTTCTACCGGCCCTACACAAACAACATATAAGAGCTCGGTATGTAGTGAAATCAAGTACCATATTCCAATCTGTGATTTTCCCTTTGAGAAGCAAGGCCTCAGTAATGGCATTGTACTGACATAGAGAATCCATCAGTTTATTATACACCTCTGGTTTACCTTCATAGCCCTCCTCGTCGATTCTTTCTAGAAGATTCTTTGCCGCAAAGGGTCTACCATCCCGACACAAAGAAACTATCAGATAGTCATAAACCTCAGAGGGGATAGATATCCCGAATCTCCTAAGCTCAACCATCAAATTCACAGCTGCGACTAACCGTCCTTCTCTTACGTATCCCTCAACTACAACTTTACAAGTAAACCTGTCTGGAACAATGCCGTTCCCAATCATTTCGTTTAACAATGACTTGGACTCTTCCATCATTCCTTCCTTACAATACGCATAGATAAGAGTATTGTAGGAGATGACATCGTGGGCTATTCCTCTGTGTACCATCCTATGGAACATCTCATGAGCTTCTTTCATCCTCTTTTCTCTACAAAGACCTTTTATAATTGATGTATAAGTGACCAAATCCGGTACAACACCCCTTCGGTACATGATCCTGTACAGATAAAATGCATCTTCTAACCTTCCTCTCCTACAATAACTACTCACTAATGTGTTATAAGTCACCAGATCAGGTTCAAACCCTTCCTCTTCCATCTTCTCCAGGAAGTCATTAACTTTTTGGATATCCGAATCATTGCAGAAAACGTTGGTCAATATATTAAAGGTATGAGTGTTGGGATGAATCCCTGATCTCCCCATTACTTGATACACTTCCCAGCACTTGTCCGTACAATTCAGCTTTAGCAACCCGTTCAAGAGATGATTACAAGTGACGGCACTAACAAGAAAACCAGCATCGATAACCTTTCTAAATGCCAAAAACCCGTCTTGTACCAAACCCATTTTCAGGTGACCCTTGACGAGCATATCGAAAATAATGGGATCCCAATTGCAATCATCGGTTGCAGAGACCAAAACCCTAAATACATCATCCTTACGTGGAATCTCTGCGAAAGACTCGATTAATTCACACAAAAGTCGCATAGCCGACGGGAATCTCTTGGACCAAGCAAGAATATGGAGCAAGAGACAGTAATTACGCGCATTAGGTCTCTTACCCAAATCGGATTTGACCCAATTGAAGAACGAGAGCGCCCGAGAAGCATCGGATTGGAATCTCAGCAAAACCCTAGAGATTTCACGGTCACCCAAGTGGGGAATCAGCGACTTTATCTCGTCACGAAGGTCGGATAAACCGGAATTTCGTTGCGTAAGAGCCAAGCAGATGAGATCGACGATTTTGTTGGGGTTTTGGGTTGCGGGAAGGAGATTATACAGTGGATTGAGGACAGGCTTTGCTGAAGATTCCGATATTATCTGCAAAGGTGTAGAACACCGATCTCTCTTGAAATCTCCGCCCGAAACTCGTATGCGAAGATTGCTAGCAGCAATGGAGGAATGCGCGAGCGAATTTGAAACCCGCTTCATCAACGGAACACTCGGGGACCCGAGAGAGAGCGCTTTGCAGAGCGCAACGTAAGAACTAAGAACGTTTGCAAACAGCAGAGAGAATAAATGGGCTTTATACAAAAAGGCCCATATACGACAATATGAGATCCACATTAAAAAAAAAGCCCATTTCAAATGTTAGAAGAATCAAGAATGTGACCTCGTAAAAAGAAAAATTACCCTGTTTTCCAAAAAAAAAAAAAAGACAACATTTTATTAGTTCCATAAATAATTAAAGAGTGTTTGGACACATAACATCCACTGTTCCAAAGAAGTTCTGTAGTTTAAAAATTTAGTAAACCCTAAATACTCGATCCCTGTCTGGTTACCAAATTGAATAGCATTTATACGAATCATCGTCTTTAATGATATGCTAATTCCGAGTTCATCTATGAAGAACATATACATAATTGATGATGTGTTTCGTTATCATGTAAGACAGTATTCGTAACGTACGGACTAAAATGATAAAAGGCGTTGGACTACAACGAACAATCAAATTTAAAAAAAAAATTACATATTGAGATCAGACACTTTTTTATTTTGCACCGATCAGATTTTAAATATAAGAAAGCTAATTTGCCTGCATTGGGAACACGAATCTAAATTCTCGATGAGATTGCAAGAAAAATTCAACTTCGCATGTGTAAGAAAAAACAATTTGATGCATATATATATATATATATATTCATTAAATAGAGCATAACTCAAATTATTCTAAAAAAAGTACAAAATCTTTTAACACAAATTATACAACTGGTCGAGGGATTACAAAACATTTAAATATTTCCACAAGTAGAAAGTAAACGACACACACGCACACAACCCAAAAAGCGAAACTACGGAACTGCCCATGCTCTCCTTTATGGGCCTTACTATGAACCGTACGGCCCATATGTTTGGCCTTCCGGCCCAAATAAAAAACAACAACATACCAACGTGACGTCATCAGCAACGACATTACGGAACTATCCCTCTTCTTCTTCAGGTCCTGGAGGTTTCTTGGGCCTTGCTCTGAACGGTCTGGCCGACGTCCTTGGTCTTCTGACCAGTGTATCCGACCACGTCAGCCATCCTACGCTTGGCATATTCCATCTGCTCGGGCATGGACCGTCTTGTGCCACGCAGGTAGTTCATTACCCACGAGATCGAGCTCAGACCCGTCAGCCCGAACAGGCCCGACGACAGGAACCCAGTCACGGCGAGCCCTATCGTGATCGCGGCAGGGACGATGACCGGGCTGAAAATGATGAAGAGTGGGGTGGCGATCATCAGGCCGATCACCGAACCGGCCAAGGCCAGACCGGCCAGGGCGAGGAGCGTGCCTCCTACCGGGATACCGGTCAAGAGGGCCAAAACCTGCGTATATATGCGAGGAAAAAATGTCTGATTTATTCGAATCAATCGACATGCATGCAGATGCGTATTTCTCTTGCATTCTGGTCATATGCGTGTGCATGGCACTTGCGTTAAGCGGTGGAAGATCAAATCAATGTAAATTATACTACATATATGGTTTATAACCAAGAAAGATATTTCATGGATACGCTTTTTTTTTTGTAAACATACATATTGTAACATAATTATAAGATAAAAAAGTTTATAAAAATGCATTATGTGACCTGAGTGCTAGAGGGGCCACGTTCAGGAAGGATGCTCTTGATGCCCTGACCGCCTTCGTAAGGGTGACTAACTTGCATGTGCCTCTCACGGTCGCGATCCGCCATCTCGATGAAACCAAAGACAGATCACAAAAGCTGATAATTTTTTTAAAATTAATTATAAAAAAACTGTGAGTACTATTGGAACTAAATAAATATATTTTTATATATAGAAGAAGGTCGGTTCAGGGTGTTTACTTATATAGCGGTCGGTGTCATTACATGGTGACACGTAAGGAGGTGAGATGGAGAGCTGAGGGTCTGCATGATTTCCAAGTTTCAGTTTTTTTTTAAAAAAAATCTCTTTTCCTTAGAACAACTCGAGAAGGAGACGTTTGCTTCGGTTCCTCTGACACGACCAAAACCATGCATTGGTCACGTGGTTTTGTCTTTATTCTTTAATTATAAACTATCATATGATTTTACTTCACCTTTCCCTTTTCATTTGGGTGTACCCAGTCCGAATTTCAAAGTCTTATGCATTGGTAATTCGAGCTGTTACCCTTCCGACGCGCTGATCGAGTAAATCTAAATCCACATATACGAGCCTACAACATACACGTGAGAGATAAATCAGTCGTAACTGATAGATGATAGATGAGCGGATAAAGAATCGAACCCCCAACCTCTCACTATGTTGACCATACTTTTTACCAACTCACCTAGACATTTCGCATATGAATTTTTTGATTTTTTATCAGCAGATATGAACAGTTCTATTGTATTTTGACTTAACTAGAGTATTTTACAATTTTATTAATTATAAAAAAAACTTGGTCTTCAATTTTAAGAATATTATATCAATAATTATCAATAAATTTGAAAAATAGTATATTCTGTTTCTAGAATTCTGATATTCGGATTGTATTAAAAAACTTATTTGTAAAAACATTTCATTTTTTACTTATTTTTATATTGAATATAAATTATATTTGAATTTAATTATTATAATTTTGAAATTTTAGTTACAGAACGGTTTTAAAAATTCCATCTGGAATATACGATATTTATTATTCAATTTAATTTGTGAATGCAGTTCATGCGAGAGGTCTTTGAATATAGAGCAACGAAATACCTGGCCCATTCTTCCAAGTTCCAGCCTCGGACCTTCTGAACAAGGTCGGTGGGTCTGAAAAACGAATAATTGGGCCTTTAAGATGTCCACATAGGCCGTTGCAATGGGCCCTGATTCTCGCCCTTAATAATATCCCCATGTCCTGCATACATACAATATACATATATTGTTTTGTCACGCCTGTATTAAAGATCACAAAATAAAATTACACGTACACAAAATACTTTTTAAAGGATTCTTAATTACATGAAATTAGGCCAATCAAACAAAGTCGTTGTAGTATAGTGGTGAGTATTCCCGCCTGTCACGCGGGTGACCCGGGTTCGATCCCCGGCAACGGCGTAATTACTTTTAACCTTATCAAACCCAATTTTTTTTAAGCCCATCAAACTATTGAAACCAGCTTTTTTTTTTATGAAACCCATATGTAGTATATGTATATATATCCAATATGATTAACAATGATATTATTATGCTTACATAAATATCCATATAATTATGCTATATCCACATTTGCGTTATGCCCATGAGATTATTAAATTTCTAGCAACAGTTCGTATGATACGATTCACATATAAAAAATTCATTTATTCTACATTAGGAAACCATAAATAAAAAACTATATATTTATGTCTTAGGAAACCCGGAATTTTTTTTAAAGTTTTTTTAAACAACTAAATCCTTGAATTTTGTTTCAAATGATGTTAGTTACATATATATATATATATATAAAAAAAATTGCAAATAAAATTTTCGGGTTATAAGAGGGAGTTTGTTAGTCGGTTATATTCACCGAGCATGCGGTGGTTGCCCAATTGGGCTATTGATGGTCACTGGATTTCATTTATGGGACAAACGCGTCTAATCCAAAAATCAAATCAATCACTGTCCATTTCCAGGTCGAAAACGACTTCGCGTTTTGATCTGAAAGCAAAAATCGTCGAATAAGGCTTTTTTGTTTTGTATTTTTTTGTGTTATTGGCCCCTTATATATATATATATATGTGTATACACACACTCATATCTCTTATATTTTTCACATGGATTCTTGGGCGGTTTGTGGTGGTCCATTTCACATGACAACGAGATGACCAACCCCCCCCTTCCCTCTTTCAGTTCCTCTTTGTACTAATGTTGGGCCCAGGTAGGGCCCAAGTTCATTTCTTTTTTGCCCTTTATGTTTTTTTAATCTATTCAGCATTATTTTTTTAAACCTTTTTTTATATTGGACTGATTGGCTGGTTATGACCGGTTTAGATCGGGTTTAGTAATTTTTGATTCGGTACAATTGATAGTTTTCCATTGTTTTACTTTTATCTATATTTATACTTGAGTCGAATTTTTCCACGTTTGAATTTATATTAGAAAATTATTGCGCTATATTGGTATAATTCTCCTCTAGCTACAGTTTTTTTTTATTATTTTGAATTCAGTATGGGAACAAAAACGTTATTCCTATTTTTTTTAAGATTAGACTTTTTTTTTCATTTCGAATTTACATCGGAAAATTATGTCATTGCGTTCGTACTCTATACAACAAAGCATATCATATGCTGATTTTGTGGATTCGACATCGATTTGAATGGGGATTTAACCCATAAAAGCTATGCCTATGGTTCTAAATCACAGTACGAAACTCGTAGGCTGTCTTTTTTTTTTCCAATCTTCAATAGAAAAACAACAACAACGAAAACGGTTGAAACAAACCTTTCGCTAGTGATTCATTGGATTGGATTCACAACAAATATGCATATACATCGAGTTTATAATATTTTTTTTTATAATGGTGGAACCCGTCTCACAGCCCGCAGACCGAATGTCATCTCGAACAGTAAATTACTTGGCTCTATGCTATGGCAAACCACGCGGAAGAGGTAAACTACACAAAATTGACTGAATCGGAAAAAAATTCAGATCTTAGAAAGAATAGAACCTACAATCTCGCGTAGAGAAAACTAATCATTAACTAATCATTTTTTAATTTAGTTTGGATTTACCCTAATTTATAATATTTTTTTGACTGTTCTTTTTCTTTTTTTTTTTATTTGATGATACATTTTTTTTGGATCTAAGTAAGGGGCCGACTGGTTGCACCGCCGCCACCCGCAAACGGAGCGGTTGCGATTTTCGGCGATTGCAGACGATTGAAAAACTGAATGGTTGAACCGCAACCAACCGCAACCGCAACCAAACTTATGTTTTCTAATCGCAGCTTTCAACTTGTGTTTTGGTAGCGGTTTCCGGCGTTTTGACAAAAAAACTAAAATATTTTTATTAGAAATTATATAAAATATTAATATATATATTGGTGATGATTTTGTTTAATGTTATGATTTGATATTATTTTGTAGTATTATATTTTAATAAAAAAATACAATAGTATAATTTTTAGGTTTAATAATGATTATTTTTAATAATTTTATAATAAAATTATTTTTTTACTTTAAAATAAATTAAATTGATAATATTTATATTTTAAATTTATTATTTAATTATCATAAATTTAGCAAATATTTTTTATCAAATGATACTAAAAATTTTAATTAAAATTATTATAATAATAATTTATAATTTATATCAAAACACAACCGCAACGAACCATTCACTTCTAACCGCACTCACCTGTATATTTACTGAACTAAGGTGAATTATCTTCAATCTAAAGTTATCCTCGAGGGAATATAGTATAACAGAGTTGTCTTTGGACCGTATAATAAATAATTTGCTTATAATAAGCAATTAACTAATAAAGTGGTGCAGCGGAAAACTGATGAGAGAGAGAGATGCAGGGACAAGAACACAGTTTGAGAAATTCAAGGAGGGTGAAGAAGAAAAAAAGGGCTGGAATAATTGAGGGGATGTCGAAAAACGCGTACCGAATGTCACATGGCAATCGGCAAAAAAAAAAAAAAAAAAAACAATCATAATTTCTTCTGTGAGGATTTGTAACAATTTTTTTATTTATTTATATTGGAATATAATAATAAGAGAACAGATTTTTCTGTAATGTACCTCTTACTACTGTTACTGAATATGACTTTTGTCGGAACGTAATCCCCTTGTCTCGATGTCGACAACCAAATCCCACCACCAAAGTCAAAGATACCCGTCTTCGTCTCTCTCTCTCTCTCTCTCTCTCTCTCTCTCTCTCTCTCTCTCTCTCTCTCTGATATCCCTATGAACACATCTACATGCATACATGCGTGTGTGCACATGTATACGAATACATACACATACGCGTATACATACATATAAAGACAGTACACGTTAATGAGAAATGAGATCTCGAGAATGATATCTGTTGTGCTGAAGAACTATGATTTCCAAGAGGCTTCATTTTCTGAACAAACACGTTAGAACTGCATGTGTGTGTTGAAAACCGCATGATGACATTATGTATATGGCAACTCTAATTACACGAAATGTATTATTATACAGAAATATGTCATTAATTACATTGTTTCTTAGGTTCATGTGCTTCTCTCTCTATATATATGTATAGACACGTGTGTGTGTGTGAGAGAGAGTAATTGATGAAATTTGTATATTATAAATATATATATATATACATATATATTGTCGGGAAATTATATAGATACATATAGTATATTGGTCATATATCAACGAACGAATTATAGTCTTATACAAACTAGAAACGGGGTTTGATCTTGTTGATGACCATAGTCCTCTCTAGATGACACTGCACCACTGATCAGGTCGCCGAAGAGAGAGAGAGAGAGAGAGAGAGAGAGAGAGAGAGAGAGAGAGAGAGAGAGAGAGAGTACGTATAATGAGAGCAGTGTTACGTATAGTATGGCGAGTTGGTTAATCCGTCATTAGTACATCAGTTCGATAATTGTTACCGACATATTTTTTTTAATACAATATATGGGTATTGAATAAGCCGACTTGTGTTTATCAAAAAATAAATAAATAAAATAAACCAACTTGTGCGGTACCCATATATAAAATTATAAAAAGGAGATTTTATTGGATCAATTTGGTATTTTATCAAAATGAAGATAACAAATAAAATGCGAAAAAAGTTATTTAGAAAATAAGTAAAGTTTTTAAACGCAATCTAATTTCGGAATGAATCAGAATATTGAAATAAAGATTGAAGGAATCTACTTTAGAATAAAAAAAATTCAAATCTAAACCTAATTATTACAAATCGAAATCCAAAATTTTTGTTATTTATATTTTGCCAACTAAAATTCATTATCTTTAAAGTGATTTTGTTAAAATTTTATTATTCCGTCGAGGAAGAAAAAAAAAACATTCCGCAGCAAGTGTTTTGAAAAAAAAAGGTATTTCAAGTCCTCAGTCTATTGTTAAATTACACACTTATATATTCTTTGGTTATTTGATGTATATGGTAGGTAGATGGCCGCCAAATGACATTAAATAAAATTGACCGACTGAAAAAGAGATTCTCTATTTATACATGTGCCTAATAAAGGTGTTATATAATAAGATGCTTCAGTTAATCCCAGAAGTCGAAATACTGCAATATTTGGATTTTTTATATATATAATTTTGTTATAGTTGCATAAAGAGCATTTATTAATTTATTATAAATGGAGGAAAAAGCTGATGGGAATATGCAAGTCCAAAGCTTATGAAGCCGCTAAGAGAATAGATAAAGTTCAAAGGTTTAATGATAGTTTAAGTTTCAAATCAAAATGTTGATAACCCATTAGACTAATCAGGAAAAAAAATTGCAACATGTTCCAAACATATATAATTAGGAAATGTAAACCTAATTATACATAATTAGGGCCGAAATCAACCCAATTAATACATCACTTATTTATCGACCAATTAACCACCCCATGACAAAAATACACACATGACACATGCATCTACAAAATAAACAGATATGGCATGTCTATATGTGCATGCTCATACACATCATCACATACAAAACATGTCTACCTCTGATCAATAACCACCATACCCTTCTCCGTCACGTCCGCCGCCACGTCCTCCGCTTTTCCGGCCGCCAAACGACGTCGTTTCAGCTCCAAAACAGCTGGCGTACCTCATGAGATCGGCGTTAGTCTCCTCGAGCTCCCTCTGAAGCCGTATGACTTGCCTCTGGAGTATAGAAATGGCTCCAACACATCCGTACACTGGATCCTTCAGCCTCGCCTCTGCCTCATAGGCCAGTGAGTTCACTGCATCTTCTCGCTGATGTGGCTCCACTTCTTGCAAGATCTTGCTAACGTTGCTCGCCCCGAAGATCCTGCATCATACAGAACACCATCATCATGTGCAAACGTTTTCTATACGAAAATTCTAGGTCAAAACGTATATAATATTACGATTATACCCTTATACCTGTGTACGTTGGCGAACTTTGTCGGCTCCTCGGGTGGGAAATACGGGGCGAAGACGCAGTCCGAGGTGCATTTCCTTCTCAGGAACTTGCAGGCCGCGCATGGAGAGTTTGCGTAGCTCGTACACGACGACGACGCCATATGTTTTTAGTGTTGTTTTCCTTATCTCACAGAAAAAAATAATGTTACGTATGTATGAACATACATGGAGACATATCTGTATGTTTACGGTTGATCTTTCTCATCCTCAATATAATTCAGAAATGGGTATTAAATTAAAACCTAATCTCCTTACGTAGAAAAATCTATATAGATATTGCACTATATATATATATCCAAACATATATCAAAGCGTTTTGGCTGTTGGTAAAATTAAAGGGTATTCACGCACACAAACACCCACCATCTCATCCTCAAGTATAGTTTAAGCTTGTAAAGTGTGATTTTGGGGATCCATAGGACCCGAACCATATATTGGTTCACATATTTTTTGTTTGACATCAAAATTTCCCTGTGCGAAATTTTTGTAAGTGTCAGATCTTAAACTTGCGGCTAATTCTTTATCACGAGAGCTCATAAATGTGATGAAAAACACATCGCATCGGCCTTTCAAAACTGAAAGAGACAGCTGTTTTGTAACTTTCGACACATTGGATGTTTTTTTTTTGTAGTGATTTACTTATACACACATAACATGCATACACTTCTTCATGATGGAATTGCTATCACACCATTACGATGTTAGATGTATAGAATTATGCGTATTTACATACTACGTGCGATAAAATAAGATATGACATGTATGTCCGTATATATGCACATGTACATGTGAACCTATACACGTCAATACGTGTACAAGAAATCGGCGTTTTGCCTGGTTCGGTTTTAGGGTGTCATATAAGTCCGACGTTTATCAGAAAAGGTAGAAGATAATCCTGCCTACAAGGCAATGAATTCTACATATATGCAATGTCAAGAACCGTACTAATCTTAGATTTAGATCTAATTCCAATACGCTTGGACAGTGAAGTGCTGGGCAGAAATTTTCAAAGAAAGTGTACACGTTGTACACACTGAATATATATATATATATATATATATATATATTTAGTGTGTACAACGTGTACACTTTCTTTGAAAATTTATGTATGTATAATACACACACAGAGGCTCATATATACATGTATATACACACATATTATTTGTAAACTAGTGAGCCACCTAAACTAGGTGGGAAAAAAAAGAAGAAGAAAATTTGGAGACATTTTCTTGGAAAAATGCTGATTTATTTGGAAAAGGGACAAGAAAAACCAAAATTTTCTGCCCATATATATGCCCTATCCATAATTTTCAACACACACACTTTTTTTCTTGACGTTTTGGCAGCTTTCCCTGGTTTCTCCTCCCTGTACTCTCTGGGTTCTGTATATATATATACATGTATATATATATATATCAATGTGTTTATGCTAAGCATATACTCAAACTACAGACATGTTTTTCTTCAATCACGTAGCGTTGATTAGATTTCTTGTTTGGTTATACTATGAGAGCTTCCTCCTTTAAATCAATTTTGATTTTTTTAGTTTTATGTGTCGATAAGCACATATCGTTATTTTTTCTATACAAAGTCGTATTCTCACCTTGCATATATATAAACATACATATATATATATGTATATGTATATCTGGCTTTTAAACTCAATCGATATGCATATATATATCAAGCAATCATCCCGGGCTAATTAGACTTTATATACAATCATATTATCCAACGAAACCGTATCATATTGATCTTCAGAATGATGTAAGTTCATGCGCATATCTTCACAAATACGTAAGTGTGTGTGTGCGTGAGGAGTAAATCAATATATCCATGTAAGCTTCATTACGGGCTTACCTCTTTTCACAGGGAGCTGCAAGAGAGAAGAGCCTCCTGATCTGTTGAAAGAGAATATGGATTTGATCTTCTTCCCTTTATAAGGTGAAAATTACTCTGTTTTTATGTTTCAATTATTATTTTTCATGATGGGTTTCAATGGAGAAGAAACCCTAGTCTGAGACAAAGAAGAAGAGCGAGCCCCCTGAGGGGAAAGTTAGAGAGAGAAGGAGAGAGGGGCAAAAGGCATTTTTGGTGATTGGAGAAAGAGAAAGAACATGAATTTATTGAAATACCAAAAGACAAATGGCCCCAAATTAATTGAGGCCCTAATAGGACTGATCAAAAAAGGAACATGTGTGACCATTGCAAATTGTACTCCAATAGTGTTTTTTTTTCTTTCTATATTTGTCATTTTCCTTTCATATATAGATACACTCGTGTGTATATATGTGTATATATATATATCGACAGACACTCGTATATATATTCGTAAATGGCCTAAAAGTTTGGTGGTATTATAATTTCATCGTTCCTTTAGAAACCCAACTTTCAGGTTTCTCCCTTCTCTTTGAAAATAACATAATGTGATAAATGAATATATGTATCTAAATCTGTTTAAAAAAAATATAATGTCCCACATTAAAAGGAGATGGAAAATCTCATCCATTTATATGATCATAAATGAGTTGTAAATATCCGTTTCAACACACATAAGCGTACACGGTACAATGTATATTAAGATATAATATATTTGACCATAAAATATTCTATCAAAAAAAAAATGTATATGTATATACACATATAGTTATCGAATGTTAGACAGTGAAAACACAACATTAGAACTTTTATTTTTTATGATTGAAATTTATCTTAGTCGATCGACCGATTATAATATATTTTTACATGCATAATCACTAACCCTATGTGAAAATACATTAAATAAATTAAGAGAACCCCTCATGTAAAGCAAAAATTGGGAACGGCATATAGGCTAAACATTATATGTACGTATTTTGCGGAGTATGCGTGTGTATCGGTGCTACTGTGGTTTGAATTTATGAGATTACATCTGTCATGTCATGGTATGCAGAGACAAAAGATAAGATCTGAGAAAATCTGACATATACGTTGTCGTTTGATTGAGTTGGACTGTTAACCTGTAGTCCGTTTGGTTCCACTGTTCGTTTTTTTTTTGTTGTAAAGATACTCTTTCTCTCTATATATACATATATATATATATATATGTGTGTGTATAACAAAAACAACGTTTGTTACATGGGAAAATGAAAAGACGAGCATGGTTATAAGAGATAATAAGAATCAAATTGGTAGTGAAATGGGTTACAATATGTTTGATGGAAGTGGTTATTGTATTCATAAGCTTGGGGACATGATGATCAGAAGATAGTTCTCTCTCTCTCTCTATATATATATATAGAGAGAGAGAGAGCAGACAATAGTGACGATGGACAACGATATAAGCAAGTAACGTTTTCAGACAAGTTGAGGATTAGGGGAGTACTCCAAGATTCCCTCCAAGAATGTTTTTGAAACAATTCATTGCCACGTAGCTTATTTGACTAGCTAGGGTCTACAATTGCGGGTCATTTTATTAATTATAATAACAATAATTTCGATTCTAGACTGATTTTATATTTGGATATATGTATATAATTGATTTTTTAAGCTGTAGACATTCTTAATTAATCTGATCTGATTAATTTATTTATTTTCCTAGTCTGATTGATTAATATGTAAATATTTTATTTGACTCGAGGATTCTTATGCGCCCATATATGCATTCATGCAATAAGTGCGCATACACCCGTATGGATACCGACAAATAAAAGTAGTTAATACATGCAAAATATATCAGCAGCATATGTGCGTAGATTATACCAATGATTAGCTTGCGATATTAATCAATCATTGGGAAACATTAATTACATATTTCTTGTTAGATCTCATATATATATATATATATATATATATATATATAATGATGACTTCAGCCAAAAATAGAAAATTTAAATAAAATGAAAAGACAACCAAAAAGAATTTGAACACCGTAATATATATATATATATATATATATATATATAGCACATATCGTTTCCTGCAAGTTGCTTCTTTGACTCGTATACGGACAATTTAAATAATTACACCCCTAATTATCGTTTACTTAAATAATGCTGATAATTAAGAGCGGCCATGCATACAATTATTTTTTTTTTTGCGTATTATTGATTGATAAACTTGATTAAATAAAACGACGTAACTTCATCTACACTATATATATATATATATATATATATATATATATATACTATGTATGCATATATATAAATATATTCTTAAAGTCATTATAAATAATGTGTACTATATATGCATGCACCTAGAGGTTGGTAACTTGGTATGGGATATTAATCAATGAAAATTAAGATAACGAATTTCTGTGCTCTCCCACCTTTATCTTTTTCCTCCTTTTTAATTAATAATAATAATAATTGTACATAATCTGCCAAAGCTCTAATATCAAAAGCTAATAAATGATTGAAATAAATTATAAAATTGAAATTTTGACTTCTCTTGTAATGAAAAAAATATTTTTTGTTTTATTGAACAAACATACATAAAATTAATAATATTTTTAATTGATTTTGTATAAATTAATGAAACAATTTAAACTAATTTTAGTTACATTCGTACCCCAACACTGCCGATCTATATCCATCCATGATATTCTAATGGCATTGATTCTCTCACCGAACCGATCGTATATATACTTACATATAGATTGCATATATGATACATGTAGTATATTTTAATAGGGAATCTTATTGATGGCATTTTTCAGTTCGGGGATATCTAGCTTAGATATCCTATTATATATATATATATGTGTGTGTGTATATATATAATGTGATTATTTAGTAGATTTGGGATTTGTGCATTGGTTGTTGAAGGATAAATTAAATGGAAAATTATTGTCCAAGGAATAATTGAAAGTCAAAATGTTAGTATATATGGCCCCAACAATGATTAGGTATGCACAATTATTTCAAGATATAATTAATCAAATACACACTCTCCTCTACATTACATACATTGTAATGAATATCATTGTGTATGTGTGTATGTATGCATGTATGTGTCTTTTGTGTACAGTGGATATACCCAAAGCCATATAAATATTGTTTGTCTTTGGATGAATGATTGGTTGATAATCATGGCCATAATGATTATTATTGCAGATAATAATCAATTATACATCAAATTATTACTACAACGAATACTTAGAATTTTTCAGTATATAGATACATCATATACATAAATCGTTGTATAATTTGTATTCTTGTCACATTTAAATTATTAAATATCTGCATAATTGTTGACATTACCTTAACTGTTGGGATATATGCTCTTTGCTACGAAGCCCATTGGACTATCGTTGGTGGGAAATTAAGCCCATAGAAACCTGACAAGCCATTTCATCGTCCAAATTTCAAACTCCGTGCTGTTTTAATGTAATACGACGACACGTGGTTTATATCTAAAATCATAAAATGCGTTGTTTCTTCTTTGAAACGGTAAGCTCCGTCTCCGGCGCTCTCCGCATCCCCAAGCCTCAAGTCTTCTGGAAGACATAATTGTGACTGTAAGATTTTTTTTTTTCTCCTCGAACATTTTGCTTGATTTCTTCTATGTATTGAACTGGTTTCCACAATTTTTCTTTTTTTTGGATGCGATGTGGTAGATTGGCTGATCTTGGGTCAAGAATGATAACTTAATTTCATTGAATTCTGATTTTCCTGATTTTTTTTTGTGATGATTAGTTCGCTGTCGTTGTGTAGTTCTTTGATTTTTCAATTAAAAAAACCCAAAAAATACTTTGGAGAGGAGGGCGGGGTCAAAGAAGCCCCGGAGAAGGCGGAGCCGAGGACGAACGGAACCTTGGAGGCATACCGGCGGGAGAACCCAGCCAAAGCCGGCCGGAAAAAGGGGGGAAGAGATATACGAGCGGTGGGTAGGGTTTTTCGAAGGCGTAATTGATTTTCGAAGGGGGAAGGAAAAGATGGGGATTTTGGTCGCTAGGGTTCCGGCCGGCCCCTTTTTCGGCCTAGGAGAGAGAAAATGCAGAGCTCCTTCCACAAACCTTCCACCCAAAAAGTATTAAACATGCGGTTTCAAGCGAATCTGGTTGACCCGTCACGAATTTGCTTCGATCCACAAAAATAATGGGTAAACGAAAAAACAAACAAACTAAAACATACATACATGATCGAGGGAATTGGCTACGTTAGCGTAATTTAGAAGGTAGCGCCGCAATGGAAATGGAGTTTTGGTATTTGATTAATGTATGGAGTTGCTGTATAAGTCTTATGAAGCTTTCTCCTTGGTTTGATTCCCAGAAGGGTTTTTCATCAACATCGTCCGAATGAGTACAAAATTAGGCTAACTAGTTTCAACGGTAGCACCGCAATTAGACTACTAAAAGTTCATATATATATACAGACAATCCACAATGCTTAGTTTTGCAACTAGTTTTTGTTTCACTTTAAGACATTCCAATGATTCATATGTTGCAAGAGTGCAAACCCCCATGCCTGGATCTGAATTTCTTATGAAACCTGTGAAAAACTTTGGAGCATGTTCCTTTTCGGAAAAGCAATTTTGCTGTACAATCATCTTTTAAAAAAATGCAGCATTAATCGGACAAAATCATGTGTTTACATTCAGGGCGTGATGAGAAAATAATCTCTGATGGTTCTTCTTTTGATGGATGAAGGTGGGTTCAGGACAGAAGATGGACTGTTGAACGCGGTTTCGGGTGTTCTCTCACACATTTGCTCTTCTTCTTCTTCTGATGATGTTTTCCTCTGAGTCTCTGGAGTTCTTATTATTGGCATAGACGCGTCTTCTTCGTCTGAAGGGTTCTTTCTCGGGCTTTCTGGTTCTTTGGCTTTGGTGCATGGCAACTCCTTTACTCTTCGTTTGTTTGAAGATGGAGACACTGTTGCCTTTGAGCATCGAGTGTTCTCTATGTTCCACAATCGAACCTAATGAACAGACATGGAAGTCAGCATTTATATGCTACCTTTCATTCCTATTCAATCTATAATGCAAAAAATTGATTTCTATAGCATTACGCCATTGCATTTCTTGTATAAAGTGTTCATTCATACCGTGAAGTCATCTGAGGCTGTTGCTATCTTCCCAATCTCTGATGAGCACCTACACCAGGAATTTACACATTATATATATATATATATATGAGCTTTTAACGGTGTATAAGCAACCGCCCAATTAATGTCGATTGGTTTTCAAGCTAGGAATGGAATTGTTGCAGGTTTTGTTAGATTACATGTTAGTTTCTTTAGTTGAGTTCATTGAATTGATTGGTCAGTCTATCTATCAAGCCAATGCTTTTGCAGAGGTCAGAAATATTTTTTTGGCTTGTAAGTTTTTGGCAAAAGGGAATTACCAATCTACTGCTGTAACCTCGAAGTCGTGGCCTTTCAAGATTACAGGATCTGCTTGAGGCTTGTTCACCTGGTTTTGTAGAAGATATCATTATTAGTATGCGCAGTCACATGATTAAGTTGAACATCTAACCTGTGACTGTGACTGAGATCAAACCTGCCATATGCAAGCGTTGCCATCGCTCGAACCGCTTAGAATGTATTCAGCATCAGGACTGATCATAGTCTGTAGAACAAAGTATCGGAATGGTGAATAGGAGGGACAATGGGACATAGAACATCATTAAGCAAGTCAACTGCGTCACATAAGGCCATTGCTGACAAGATCATTACCCTTACGAAAAATGAATCTATTCGGCAACCAGAGAAAGATTGTATAGGTCCTTTGTTGAGTTGCAGCAAGTTGTACAGATATATTCTGGAACAAGTAAAAAGTGTGACGGATTACAGATTCAAGATTTCTGACCCCAAACCTTCTACTTGTGCACATTGCCCATCATAAGAAAATTTAATCAGCCACTGAATCTGAAAAAAGATAAACACTTACCTATTGTCCTTGCATGATGCTGTAAGAAAGGACCCATTTGAGTCCTGGGACAAGCATACTATGCCGTGTGATCTCTTTTCCTGAAACCATTAAAGGGTGATGCAGGGATGAATCTAGTTGCTATGACCTGTATTAAACTGTAAGTTTCCCTTTGAACCATCAATTGAGGTTACCTTTGTGTTTGATGATTCTGGATGTGGAGATGCCTGAGTAAAAGGAGCTTTCAGCTTTCTCGCATCCCAAAATTTTATGGCACTGAAAGGGCAAAGTAAAAGCAAATTGTGTGAATGATGTTGCTCTGACCAAAACATCCACAACTGCAAGAAGTCATGCAAATACCTATCGGGCGCTCCGGCTGTGGCAATTGAGACCTCGTCCTTGAGATAAAGCACAGAGGTAATGCTCGTTGAAGCAGCCTGAAAACAGGAACACATAAGCAGAGCAAAAAAGACAAAAAGGGTGAGAGGGAAATTCAGAGCGTTGGGCAAACCTTGCTACGCCTCACTCGCTTTGAAAGCGGCGATAGATGAGCTCCTTTAACCATGGAAGTAGAGCTGTTCAAAAGTGAAACTGTTGAGATGGTTGAATGAAAAACCACAACGGATCTTCATAGATTGGACTAAGATTAGAGAAGCACTTACTTGATACAGAATTCCCCTCTGTGGGAGCTACTCTTACATCTCAAATCCCACAGAGCAAAGGATCCATCTCTAGAACCAGAGACAAGAAGATCTGCGAGTAACAAGACTTGGAGCTAACTTAAGTGACATAATTGAAATTAGGTCCAGCCGTTTCTAAGAGACAAACCAGAATTGATAGGATGTGAACATAATGACTTTATGGTTCCCGTGTGTCCGATCAGCACTCCAGTACATTTGCTCTCCTCTACATCCCATACTTTAATCTGCAGCCGTGGAAATACAAGCACAAAGCTTATTTGGTCTCAATCTAACATGTGAACGAAAGATATCAAGTTGATCTTCCAAATTAATAAATCCCAAATTACGGAGCAATTACTTACAGTTTGATCACCGGATGCAGTTAGAATAGAGCTATCTTCCTGCAAGAAATTCCCAAAATACAGCACATAAACACCAAATAAGTACCTCAATCCCTACAAAATGGTGATCAATCAACATATTTAATATTTTATGACAGGCATATGGAGTACCTTGATCCACAAAACATCGAAGACTGCATTGTGATGAGCAACCCAGTCACGAAATCTAGTCTTCTCTGCACATAATTCCATTCCAACCTCAGTTATTTTACGGACAAAAAAATTTAAGGGTTTCCAAAGGAAAAGACAGAGAACCTGTGTTCTCTTGGTGAGATGCTGAAGCGGCGGCCTTCTTACGAGAATCAAACAAGTTCACATGGCCGTCCTCATCAGACACCGCGAAGATATGGGAATTCCGGCTCCTCTGTAAGATTAACATATCAAATTTTGAACAACACTCAGTTTCTGCTTAATTGCCAATCATACAGAACAAAAATATTTCACCGAGAAATTCTAATCCGTGGGATATGTCACATGGTCCAGTTAACATTCAGCATGAATTGAGACAGGAGGACTCTTTCACTTGTACCACCTTACAGAACGAAACTGCCAACGGCGGTGTCCGATCTCCGTCGTGTTCCACGGCCACGCCGGCGATTTCTCTGCATCTCAGCTCAGAATCTGCGAAATACGGTCGTTTCCTAACTGCAGAAACATACACAAAAATAAGGAAAAAGCTTATTCTCGTATCACTCTTCAGATTTCCAGCTGCAACATAGAGAAACATCCATACGTCTAAATATATGCTATATACCTCGGAATCCTTTGAGCTCTCTGAGTCCGATGTCGGTGAAGACAGATCTCTGTCCAGAGATTTCCATTGGCGTATCGAGAGAGAAACAGACAGAGAGAGAGAGAGACAGAGAGAGAGGAAGGGGAGAGGCGGCGAGAAATGGTTGTATGGAGTTGATGGCGGGAGGAGGAAGGACAAGCAGAATTTGTTCTGTTTTGGCGGTGTGGTTTCGCTTTTAGGCGGGAATACCACCTGACTCAAAAATTTTCCTCTTAGGAGGGAAAATATAAGGGAACCGAGATAACGGGATTGCGAACCGGTGTCCGGTTTAATTTTAATTTTAGAAGCAAGAAATCCATCTTTAGATGAATCTTTAGGAAACGACGGCGTTTATGCTGCATAATCGGACCAACGTAAAAGGCCCGCTCGTGTAGCCCAATTAAAAATCCCTAGCACGACGGCGTTTCGTTCGGCCCATTTTCGTTTGCCGCGGATCACAAGCACACTATTTAACATCGTTTCCTCCGAAAGGGCCGATCAAATTCAAATTTTCAAATGCTTCCTTCTTTCGCTCGTTCGGCTCAGGAAAAGCTCCGTGATCGCATATATGATCTCAGGTAAAAATCTCTTCTCGATCTCTTGTTGTTGGATTCAGCCGGAGAAATTCGATTCCATAAACCCAGGAAGATTTCATCGCCAATTATACCAACAACGCATTGCTAGTTTCATACCTTGAATCGATATTTTTGCAGATTTTTTCTCGAGCGTATGCGTATTGCATTGTTTCTTCTTCTTTTTGTCGCCGTATATGCTTAAATCTGTGCCTATCAGTGCTTGAATTTCTGATGGAATCGTAATATACGGATGCATCTTTGTTTCTGATGGATAATTGAATTCGATCCGAGACATACCATTCAGTATATGAGCCTGTTTTACGTGTTCGTCTCACCAGAGGTAGGAACAGTTGTGTTTTGTACCTTTCTATGCAATTGGAAATTAGACATATACGGAAATATATGCAAATTCGTCCGCACACACGCGTACGTATCTTTTAGATCTATAAAATATATCAGTGTCGGGAAAAACACTATATTAAGATGCAAAAAAACACACCAGAAAAACATTCACAAAACGTTTCTGCAACGTACTGAAAGATGAACGGATGATCAACAGCTCTATAGTATTCACAAAACTCTAGAAAAGGGAGGGAAAGCCAATCAAAAAACAAGGGAAACGAAATAGTGGAAAAAAAAAGGAAGACAAACCAAATACCATTCTTATGGAGACTTTCTTTCTCCCACTTCACTTTGGCGATACGGGCTTGGTGTGTGAAGATTTCCCTGTAATGGCTTTCTTCACCTTGGAAATGGAATGCTTGACCTTTGATCCAACACCAGATAGAATGCCGTGCGATTTCTTGTGCGGGGTCTTGTCATTCACATCTCTGGCTTCCACCATGACAACAGAGTCAGGACTGGTTTTATCCTCCTTATGTTCATCTCCGTCCCCCTCGTCATCTTTGTTTTCCTCTGTTTTAGCCTCCTCGATATGAGATGCTTCTGTGTCTTCAACTTTATCAGTTTTTGCTTCTTCAACCCGAGTTCCTTCTTCGCCGGTTTTTGTTTCTTTCCCTTTCTTCACCTTCTGGAGAAGGTCAGATAGCGAATTCCTTCCTGACTCTATCGATGTTGGGGACTCCGTTATTTTTTCATCTAAATTGTCTATTTTACTTTCAACATGTTCAGTTCCTTTTATTTCTGAAGATGTGCCTTTGATGTTTCCAGCTCCATCTGCTTCTCTCTCATTCTTCTGCAAGTCTTCAACTGTCTTTTGCTGTGACAGTGTTGCTTCAACTGGTATCTCCTTATCTAGAATGAGTGGGATGCTTTTTTCAAGCTTCTGAAATTCCTCAGTGATTTCCTTCGGTTGGCTCAGGCAGTCTCCCTTCGGTGATATTTCTGTCTCTTGTTCCTAACACAGATTAAAAGATGAATATTCTTGATATGTTAATTCAGCTTATTGTTAGGGAATAAGCTATGTTTGTGGGGCTAAATTCATTAGAGTATACTGGTAATCTCTAGTATGCCTTAATGGAGTTCAAAGATTCATATAAATAGAGACCCGAGATTCTAATAGATTATTGATACAGCAACACAGGACAGTGAAGAAGTAGATTTACCTCTATCTTACTGCTTGCGCCTTGTGGGAGGCTTTCGGAGGACACACTTTCAATCTTCTGAACTTCGGGTTTTATTTCTCTTGTTTCTTCATCGGTGTCCTTTGTGTCATTAAGATTTTCCTGTGCTGTTTCTTTCTCAGCCAAAACCTTATCTGCCTTTGCAGGCAGTGACTCCGGCAGAAGCATGGGTTCGTCAATATTCTTTTCTGTTGAGATGTCTTCTTTTTGTCCAGAGAGATTCTTCATGAATTTAAAAGTTCCATTTAGATGTAGATTACGGGGAGGAGACAACAAAAACATAAAATTGCGTGTGCAACCATTCTTACTTCTTCTTTTGGGATATCCCCTGTGACAACAGTGGCAAAGCCTGCTTGCTTATTCTCCTTGTGTATCTGGTTTGTCACTTCTTGAAGGGAAATCTGATCAGATTTTTCTGATGAGATATTTTTCTGCATTCCCAATAATGACATATAAAAAGTTCGTTAGAAACGGAAGAGAGTTAGCGTAAACTCATCATTCACAATTGATTTACCTCTTCTCCAGCAATCTCCTGTAGGATTTCATCTCTTTCTATCATTTCTGGAGCCTGAATTTTCATAACATCATCAGGAGCAACTGTTGGACCATCCTTGGGGGTTGCCTCCTTCGACTGAATTGTTGATTCTGTTAAGTTCACAACAAAAGCTTCTGATGAACTCTTCTCTTCTAAGTTCTCCGAGTCCTCTTTTGCTTTTTCTTCAACTTCAGTTGCTGATTCTAAGTTTTGATGCTTGTTGTCCTCAGAAGCTAATGTAGATGACAGTTGTTGGGGTTCTTCCACCACTTCTGCTGTCTGCGAGTTCAGACTACATTCGACTTCATGTTTTATATCTTGTGGGCCTTTCTCCTCTTCCTCCTCTGACAAGCTTGGTTCTTTCCTCTGCTCTTTGGCTGAAGGTTCCTCTTGCTCAATTTGTGCATCTTTTACTAGAGGCTGATCAGTTAGAATTTCTTCTATTTGTGCTTCAAGCTCCCTGGGTTTCTCCTCCTGCATCTTTACTTCTTCTATTTGATCCTTTGGTGCTTGTTCCATTGAAAAAACCAGATTATTGGTGCTTTTCTCTGCTGTATAAATATTGGTTTCCTTAGTCTGCTCCTGTAGTGACCATTCTTCATTTTTTGCTTCAGCCACGGAAATTTCTTTTGTTCCCTCTCCACCCTGTTCCCCAGTGATCCCTGAATCAGCTGCTAGATCATGATGCTTCTCATCACTCATTGTATCTTCTGATCTGGCTTGTAGTTCAGCAGTTTCCTCGTTTGATTCAAACTCAATACCATCAGCTTTCTCTCTTAGTTCTTCTGGAGACTGAATAATTTGTTTTTCAGTTGGAACTGCACCATTGATCTCTTCTTCATTCCTCAACGCACTTTGGGGTTCTTCCTTTTCCACTTCTAGGGATGTCAAAGCATGATGAGTTCCACGCTCAGTTGCATCTCCAATATCCGTCTTGACTTTTGGTGAGAATGCTTCTTCCTTTTGCATTGTGGCAGAAGTATCCTCTGGCTTCTCCTCTTGTATATCCTCATTCTTCTTTCCCTCTATGATCGCAACATTTTCTCCCTCAGCCGGTTCAGGGCTATCTGGCTTCTGCTCTGTTTCTTGAGAAAGGGATGCAGATGATCTAGTTTCAGGAACAACTGCTGGTTCTTGGGCCTCTATGATCTGATCAAAAGTATCTCCAACCTTCTCAGAAGCTTTGGGATCTTTGGGAGGCTCCTCTTGCAGGGATGCCTTCTCTACTGCTGCAGCATTAGCATCATGTTGTCCCTGAGCTACTGATTCCTCTTCTTCCTTTCGTTCACCGTCATGAACCTTCTTGACCTCTGCCTGGGTCTCTCGGACCAGCTTCTCTGTTGACGTATTGGCGGATTGGGGCTGAAGTTTTTCATCTGGTATTTCTTCTGGCATATTTTGATCAGAAAAAGTATCTGGCGTAAAGTCTTCGTGACTTTCATTCTTAGGCAGTGAAGATTCTTCTGATTTATCTTCCTGCTTTTCAGTAGAAATTGCATGCTCTGGCTCTTCAACCTTCTCAGAAGCTTTGGGATCTTTGGGAGGCTCCTCTTGCAGGGATGCTTTCCCTCCTGCCCTCAGTTGCCTCTACAATTGTCTCAGCATCCTTTGAGATCGTTTCTTCTTCTCTTTTTGTAGCATCCATAGCCCCTACTGCTGCAGCATTAGCATCATGTTGTGCCTGAGCTACTGATTCCTCTTCTTCCTTTCGTTCATCGTTCTTGACCTCTGCCTGGGTCTCTCGGACCAGCTTCTCTGTTGACATATTGGTGGATTGGGTCTGAAGTGTCTCATCTGGTGTTTCTTCTGGCATATTTTGATCAGAAAAAGTATCTGTCACTCCTGGCGTAGAGTCTGCGTGACTTTCATTCTTAGGCAGTGAAGATTCTTCTGATTTATCTTCCTGCTTTTCAGTAGAAATTGCATGCTCTGGCTCTTCAAAAGCCAATGCAGAGGATGGAATCTGAATTTTCTCACCAGATCTTCCGTGGTAGCAGGAATTGTTTCCTCACGTTCTACAGTCTCCCTGGTTTCTTCTTCTTGTATCTTTTCTTCAACTCTGGCTTCAAGTTCCCTGATCTGTTCTTCTTGTACCTCTAACTCTTCTGTAGGCTTGTTTAGCAAATTTAATTCATTTGCAGGGACAGATTGCTCCTCAACACAGATTTCTTGTTTCTCAGCAGCTGTAACCCCCTCTTCCTCCTTCATGTCCGGTTTTTCACCAGTCTCCAACCCAGTTATTTCTGTAACCGGATGCTTTTCCTCAGTTTCAGAGTCCTCTAGCTTTATTGAAGTCTCAAAATCCTTTTCTTTTGACTCTACTTCATCATCACCAGCCTGTTGTGCTTCTTCTGCCGGTTCCATTGTCATCGTCTCCCCCAGTGCAGGTGCATCTCTGGTATCACTCTCAGTACCCAGAGTAGTTTGGAATACATTCTCAGTTTGGGCAGTTGGAAGAGCAGACGTAAGACCATCTTCATGCTCTACCTCCCCTGTTTTGTTTAAGAAAGAAGTATCATCTGGACTCTCACTCTTTGGAAGAGTCTGATCCTCTGTAATTCCACATTGTTTTGGAGCTCCATGGTCCTTGGTCTCTTCCTGGTTCAGGCATGCATCCTCCGAAGTGTTGGACATGCTTTGACCTTCTACAGTCTCAGTTACTCCACTGTTCATTTTCGTTACGTCTTCATCTTCTACTGGCGTTGCTTCAGTTGAAGGCTCCAGAACCTGTTTTTCCGAGGACAACTCTTGTGGTAGTTCCTCCACCTGATAATCTGATTTTTCTTCTATATGACTCTGATCAGCAGGAGTATCTGATCCCTCTTCAACATGGTAATGTTCAAGCTTTTCTTTTGCCTCATCTTCCAAATCTTTTGTTTTTGTATCTAAAATCATATCTTCGGTTTCTACTGCAGCGGGAACTTCTACCTTTCCCTTGTTCATTTTTGTGACTTCGTCCTCAGATTTACTTTCTTGCATTGTCACAGCATCAGAGGCAGTGACTTGTTCCGCTTCCCCAGAAGCCAACAACACAGAGGTTGGACCTTTGTCATCAGATGATTCTACTGGAATAATTTCACCCCGGGGGATTTCTTCTAATTGCAATTCATCTGCTTCCTTTGTTTTCGCTTCATTGATCTCATTGACTTGCTTTGGAGTCTGCTCATCCCCTCCCAGAACCAGCTCAGTGGACGGGGTTTGATCTGGTTCTGATGTTTCAATGGGAAGACAGTGATCAGCCTGAGCTTCTTGTTCCTCGGTTGTCTCAGGAACTTTCTGGTTCTTGTCTTCCTCCTTATCTTCAAGGTTTGGAGCTTCATGGTCCTTGGGTTCCTCCTGTCTAATTTCCAAAGTCTCTGAGGTGCCTGAGCCTTCTAAAGCCTCTGTTCTCTCTGTTTCCTTTATTTCTTTATCTCCTTCCTCTGTTTCTTCAGTAGGAGTCTCCTGTTTAAATTTCATTTTCGATTTGACCTGTTCATCTGAATTTTCTTCTAGAAACCTTTCATCAACGGTAACCTCTGTTACCTTTGATAGATCAGAACCTTCAAGTGTTTCATTATCTCCCACGTCAGATGGAATCTGAATTTGTTCATCAGATACTTTGGCATCTGCATTTGGCATACTCGATTGTTCCAAGGGAAGACCTCGATCTGCAACACCCGTATCCTTGCTTAATGGTTCAAGCACCTGGGGCCTTTCCTCGTCTTCTTTTGGTTTATCCTGTATACTTTCAGATGCATCTGTGGTTATTATCTTTGATTCGTCAGAGGGCAACACCTGAAGTTGCTCCTGCATTCGAATCTGAACATTCAACCTTTCATCATTCTTTGAAGGTTCAGGATCTCCATGCTGCTCCTCTTCTGGGAATACCGGTTCTTTTGTCTCTGTAGAATTAAGAACTTCCTCTTGACTCTCGTTCATTTCTGCTATTTCTTTCTCACCTTTTGCCCCCTGAATCGTCACATCATCAGATGCAGTCACTTGTTCCTCTTCCTTGGCCACCGATGCAGAAATTGGAGCTTCTTTTTCAGATATTTCTTGAAAAATATCTTCGCTAGAAGGAACTTTTTCTGCTTCTAACTCATCTGCTTCCTTTTTTTCCTCTTCAATAATTTCCTCTACTTGCTTTGGAGTCTGCTCATCCAATCCTGAAATTAGTTCAGATGATGGAGTTTCATCTGCCTCTGACTTTTCAGCTGGAAGACATGGAACACTACTAAGTTCTGGTGTTTCAGTTGTCTCAATAGCTTCCTGGGTTCTGTCTGATGCTGACTCCGTGTCCTTCACTTTTTCGTCTTCTACCCTCTCGGGTTCAGCTAGACTTCCTTGTTCCTGTTCTTCAGAAGGCAGTACCAAGGGAATTCTTATGTGCTCATCAGATTTTTCTTCCGTAATAGCCTGCTGGTCATCAGGAATTGCTTCATTTGACGATTCATGCTTCTCCGTTTGTTCTTCCTGTGAGTGTGTTTCGTCTATCTGCTCCTTTGGCAGACATGATTCTTCTTGCAGAGGACTTGGATCATCCATGCTCCTTTCCTCTAGGGCTCTTTCTTCAACTTCCTTACTTTCCAGTGGTGAATGTGTCGCTGCTTTTTTCTTTACAACAGGGGGACCCTCTTCTTGACCTTCTTGATCCAGATGTCCTGCTTCTTCTGGTTGCTCCTCGATCTTCTCATCTACAGTTTCGGTTGTTTGCTTCAATCCTACGGAGGGCAATTCAGGGCACTCCTCCATTTTCTCGATTGATTCCACCTCCGGAAGATTCTGGTCATGTGTAGTTTCGCCTAATCCAACGGATTCAACAGCAACCGGATTTTCTAGTGGGCCTTTCATCATCTCATCAGTTTTCGTGGTTTCTTGATCTTTGGTCTCATCTGATGCTCCAGTCCTGGTTTTGTTTTGATCATTTTTCTCCGCCTCTAGATCACCTGGAGTCCAACCTCTCTGCTCCTTGGCAATTTGACTTTCACCAGATTCCTCAGCGACCTGATCTCCGGAAGGAATGAAGACTTCAGATGTTATATTGGTTTCATCAACTTCATCTATCTTTAGGCTATCTTCTGTCAGCTTCTCTTTATCTTCAGAGCCATGATCTTCAGTCCCGACCTTCAACAGAATACCAGAGGGGCTTTCTTCAAGTTTCTGGCCTTCTTTCTTTGTTACTTGAGCTGCCTCAGGCTCGTCTTCTTGTAGGATTTTCTCTTCTGGATTAGTGCTTGATTTTTCAGGCAGAGGTTCATCTATCTTGATTCCTGAGCTGCTAGGTTCCATATGTTCTCCAGATTCTGCTGTTTGAACATTTTTTTGATCCGAACTTTTCACCTGTTCAGAAGACAATGAAATTTCATAAATGTCAAGAACTTAAACATGGACGAGGATTCACAGGCATGACTTTTTATTACAACAAACCGCAAAGTATGTTTCTGTTTTTTTTTAATGGTCCTTTTACCGGTTACAAAATGAGGTAGAATCTCACCTCAATTTTTGCCTAAGAATCAGAAATCTTGTGTGATAAAGGCAATCAACGCAAAAAGGCCATGGGAGTAGTATCGGTTATGAACTGGTGTAATTTAGTGTTAGTTATCGAAGTGACTCTGATAGTTCAAAATAAGTAAACAACCACCACTGAAGCAGGCAACCAACACAAAATAACTAATCTGATAGTCTGTCATTTGCTAGTCTAACCTCGTCATCCACTTCATGAGCTCCAGTTTCTTTCGCTGTGATCTTGTCCTTGATATATTCTACATCATCTTCTCTATCGATTTTCTGGGGCACCTGTTTGACATATATACAGAATATAACACATACCGATGATCAACAGCATAGAAATATAGGATCGAATATTATATGCTCACCTCTTCCGACAAGATGACAGTCTTTATAGCCTCATCTTCTCCTGTTTTTAATTCTTTGGTATCTTCATCTTCTTTATGGAGCATGCTGTCTCCAGTTGGAATCTCTTCTGGTTTGAGATTAACTTTTTTTGCAGTTTCACCTTCATCCAGAAGTTCAGTATCCTTTAATAATTTTTCTTCTGCAGGTACGGTGGTAGGTCCAGTGTCAATTGCATCTACATCAGGGTCAGCATTCTTCAAGATTTCTTCTTCTGCTGTTCCAGTAACTACGGCCTCAGTTTCGTTTACAGCGGTATGAGCATTCTTCTGGATTTCTTCTTTTGCCGTTCCTGTGGTTTGTAATGCTTCAGTTTCATTTGCAATTGTCTCGTCGTCTTCTTTGCGAAGCATCTCCGTCCTGTCTTCTTCGGTTAGATTTTCCTCCTGTTCAAGATGAACTTCTTTTGTAGTTTCACCTTCATCGAGAAGTTCAGCATCCTTTGCGATCTTTTCTTCTGCAGTTGTCGTGGTATGGACAGCCTCACTCGCATCTAAAATCGGCTCAGCGTTGCTCGAGATCCTTTCTTCTTCTGCCGTTGTAGCATCTACTGACTCAGTTTCATATGCAATGGTCTCGACATTGCTCAGGATTTCTTCTTTTGATTCTGCTGTGGTCTGTACAGCCACAGCCTCAGTTTCATCTGCAAGGGTCTCTCCACCTTCTTTTTGAAGCATCTCCTCCTTAGTTTTATTCTCTTCCGGTTCTGGATGACCTCCGTCTGTTGTTTCGCCTTGATCGAGAAGTTCAGTATCCTTCAAGAGCTTTCCTTCTGAAGCCTTCGTGATACATACAGCCTCAGTTGCCTCTACAATTGTCTCAGCATCCTTTGAGATCGTTTCTTCTTCTCTTTTTGTAGCATCCATAGCCCCGGTTTCATCTACAATGGTCTCGGCGTGTTTCAGTTGTCTCAATAGCTTCCTGGGTTCTGTCTGATGCTGACTCCGTGTCCTTCACTTTTTCGTCTTCTACCCTCTCGGGTTCAGCTAGACTTCCTTGTTCCTGTTCTTCAGAAGGCAGTACCAAGGGAATTCTTATGTGCTCATCAGATTTTTCTTCCGTAATAGCCTGCTGGTCATCAGGAATTGCTTCATTTGACGATTCATGCTTCTCCGTTTGTTCTTCCTGTGAGTGTGTTTCGTCTATCTGCTCCTTTGGCAGACATGATTCTTCTTGCAGAGGACTTGGATCATCCATGCTCCTTTCCTCTAGGGCTCTTTCTTCAACTTCCTTACTTTCCAGTGGTGAATGTGTCGCTGCTTTTTTCTTTACAACAGGGGGACCTGCAATGATCTCTCCACCTTCTTTCTGAAGCATCTCCTTCTCAGTTAGATTCTCTTCTTGTCCAAGATGACCGTCTTTTGTAGTTTCGCCTTCATCAAGAAGCTCATCATCCTTTGTGGTCTTTTCTTCTGCAGCTGTTCTGGACTGGACAGCCTCAATTGTATCTAAAATCGGCTCAACATTGTCTGAGATCCTTTCTTCTTCTGTTTCTGCAGGATCTATAGCCTCGGTTTCATTTACAACGGTCTTGACATTCCTCGGGATTTCTTCTTCTGATGCTGCTGCGGTCTGTACAGCCTCGGTGTCATCTGCAGTGGTCTCTCCACCTTCTTTTTGAAGCATCTCCTCCTTAGTTACATTATCTTCTGGTTCAGGAAGACATCCTTTTGTAGTTTCGCCTTCATCAAGAAGTTCAACATCCTTTGAGGCCTTTTCTTCTGCAGCATCCGTGGTAAGCACAGCCTCAGTTGCTTCTAAGGTCATCTCAGCATTCTTGCAGATCCTTTCTTCTTCTGCAGTTGAATTATCCGCTGCTTCCGGTTCATTTATAATGGTGTTATCATTCTTCAGGATATCTTCTTCTGCCACTGCTGTGGTTTGTACAGACTGGGTTTCATTTTGAACGGTCTCTTCACCTTCTTTGTGAAGCATCTCCTTCCTGTCTTCTTCAATAAGATTTTCCTCCTGTCTAAGATGACCTTCTTTTGTAGTTTCATCTTCATCAAGAAGTTCAGCATCCTTAGCGATCTTTTCTTCTGCAGCTGTTGTGGCATGTACGGACTCAGTGTCATCTAAAATCGTGTCAGCATTCCCCGAGATCTGTTCTTCTTCTACTGCTGTAGGAACTACCATCGTCGTTTCATTTACAATGGTCTCAATATTCTTTGGGATTTCTTCTTCCACAACTGCTGTTATTTGTAAAGCCTTGGTTTCATTTGCAACAGTTTCTCCACATTCTTTTTGAAGAGTCTCCTCAGCTAAATTCTCTTGTGGTTCAGGATGACCTCCTTTTGTGGTTTCACCTTCATCGAGAATTTCAGCATCCTTTGAGATCTTTTCTTCTGTAGCATCCGTGGTATGTATATTCACATTTGCTTCTAACTTCGTCTCAGCATTCTTTGATATCCCTTCTTCTTCTTCTGTTGTAGTGTCTGCAGCCCCTGATTCCTTTAAAATGGTGTCATCATTCTTCCGGATTTCTTCCTCTGCCGCTATTGTGGTTTGTACAGCCTCGGTTTCATTTTCAGTTGTATCTTCACCTTCTTTCTGAAGCTTATCATTCTTTGTTTCTTCAGTTAGATTCTCTTGTGGTCCAAGATGACCGTCTTTTGTAGTTTCTTCTTCATCAGGAAATTCCTTTGCAATCTTTTCTTCTTCAGATGCCGAGGTATTTACAGCCTCAGTCACTTCTAAAATTGTCTCAGCATCTTTCGAGATCTTTTCTTGTTCTGTAATAGTGTCTGCAGCCTCGGTTTCAGTTACAATGGCCTCAGCATTCCTCGGGATTTTTTGTTCTGCTGCTTCTGTGGTCTCTTCATCTTCTCTCTGAAGCATCTCCTCCTTAGTTAGATTCACTTCTGATCCAAGAGGACCTTCTTTTGTATTTTCACCTTCATCAAGAAGCTTGGTATCCCTTGCAATCTCTTCTTCTTCGGCTTTCGTAGTATGTACAGCCTCAGATGCATCTAAAATCGTCTCAGCATTCTTCGAGATCTTTTCTTCTTCTGCTGTTGTGGTATCTACAGCCTCACTTTGAGTTACAGTTGTCTCATCCTTTGGCACGTTCTCCTCTGGAACATGTTCTTCGATATCCTTATCTGTACTGCTTCGCTGTGATTCTTCGTGGGCCTAAATAAGAGTGTAATGCCTTAATTTTACTGATAGAGGACAAGAAAAAACGGGAATAACAAAAACTAAAACACACATTTGTGTTTTCTTTATTCAAGCTATAACCTGGTTGGAGTTCTCCTCAATTTCAATTTTTTTGCAGCTTCTAACCATCTCTTCCTTCGTGTTTGCAGTTGCAGGTGGAGCATCCATCAATGCTTCAGAGCTTTCAACCATTGTTTCCTCGTGAACTGGTGAGCAGCTTTCTATGCTGTGTAGTTGTTGCTGTGCTGTATGCTTTTCCGTGCTTACTGCTTCCTCAATCACCTTAGAACTTTCATGGATCTGCGGGGACAGAATAAATATTTATTTGTTAAGGACTTTTCATACATCAACAAGTTTAACTCTGACCTGTAGATTTCAGGAACTAAAGCAGACCTCTTGAATTTTTCTGGTGATTTCATCTTCTGTTTTACTGTCTACGGTTGCATCATCTAAGGTTCTCTCTGAATCGTTTATTGTGCTGATTGTTTCCACTGGTTGAGCTTTTCCAATATCGCCATGATCATCCCGGTTCAAGCTTTCAGTTTCAACTATAGACACCATACCAGGGTCATGAACTCTAGTTTCTTCATTACGAACTGAACTAGCTTCCACAAAGTCTGATGCTTGTCTATCGAGTGCAACATCGAAATTTTCTGCGGCAATAGATTTCTCTTTAGTGATGTCGGTAGTTTCTGCGATTGGATTATCGTGTGTTGCTTTCTCTTCTTCTGCTCCTTCATTTTCTTTATTCCCTGATCGTGTCGTGTAATTAGTGTGTGTATATATAGAGGGATGCAGAAAATTTCATTCAATTTATCAACATTAATATTTCTTTTTAGTATATTTTTTTTTATGTTCTATCTCTTACTCGTATTCTTCTCGTATTCTTCTCCGCAAGTTTATATAGTTTGTCCATATTCAGCTTTTGTTCATATTCAGCTTTTCCTAGTAAGCATCCATACGTTACCTGACCCATTTGGAACTTCTGCAGGATCTGCAGATCCTATGGTTACTCCATTGCTGCCACTGTGGCCAATGCTTATATCGGGAACTACTTTTGCCTCATGTGCTTTAATGGAGCGGTCAACTACTCCAGGAGGTCCTTCAATATCGTCATACTTGACAGTTTCATCGGCTTGTTTGCTCACCAGGTACTCGTTTGCACCTTCACTTATCTGCATATATATATATGAACATGTTCAAACATATATACAAATCATTCCCATTTCAATCAATATGCTATACCTTTTATGATGCAAATGCTCGGATACATCACTATAAATAGGTCAATTCCAGTAGGTGTTTACGAATAAGCTTCGGGTTGGTTTCTAAGTCTGTCAGTTTTGTAATACCTGATTCTCTAAATGGGTTTTCATCTGATCAAAGGATCTTTCAAAACCTGGCTGTTGTTCTTGTTCTGCTGAATCTAATTTCGCTAGGTAGTTGGTTTAGGCACTTAACCGGATCCTATAATGATAGAAATGAGTTATGTTACGTTTGATCATCACTTTCACATTTGATGAATTTTGTTTAACTAGGATCAAACGCATAGATTGTAAGTTTTTCATGGCGTATAGTCGTATACATATATACACAACAGGGTATATTGAATATTTTAGCCAACCCCAAATCACGTGTTTATCACTTTCACACTACCAACTAGTAACATCTATTCTAAACGTTTGAATTGACACGCATAAAAGAACCCTTATCAGGATATGGTAGATTTGGTGGGTTTGTTTCCATATGAGGAAAGGTTCTGTAGTTGCAAATCTAATTCAGGAGGGTTAACTTTCCACTAAAAAAAAGTTTGGAGATTCTGATTTTGTGGAATATGCTTAGAACTTGTTTGATTAAGTCCAGAGATCATCCGAATCGAATCCCAAGATGCTAGGACTGCAATATTCATGCCGAAGAACACAGGTAAGGGTCAGATCTCAGCTTCTGTTTGTTTCAATATAGAAACTTGTGTCTAAGGGAAAATAGATTGTAGATCATGGAATTCAGTTTTTCAAATATCTGATAAGATTTCAATGTTTAAACAATCAGATTACAAGTAAAAGTTATAAATCAAAGAGCTTGTGACAAAACATCATGCATCTAACAAACAAAAAAGAAGGAAATAGAAAAGCAAAGTTCAGAAGAGAGATATAGGTAGATCATAAATGATCATACCGTTGCAGAAACAGGTTCTTGGACGATTACGACTCCAGTTTCCATCTCTCATGCAGGGGAAAAAAAGAACCCGCAAGGATCAACAGTTGTTTTCTCCGCAAGAAACCTCCTGTGAGTTTTTTTTTTATGAATCTCTAGATCATTACGCATCTATAACCTGATAACTTTTATAATTGGTACTGAGGAAAATAGATGATAGTAGTGACAAAAAGTAGTCCCATTAGTTGTTCGGGGACATCGGTCGTCTGAGTTGGCAATAGATAATATTGTGGTCCTACTGATTTGATCATCCACATGCCTTCGGTGGTAGAATCTTAATGCAGCTTTTTCCCTAAAGGCCAATTATAGAAAAGGTTAAATCCAGGGATGTAATCATTAATAAGGTAATTGAGATGCTCCCCCTCCAACGATAACATAGAAATTGAAGTTGGGTCTAGATGGTAAAACTTAATTAAAGTAAGGGGTGGGCGTTTTTGTTCTGTTTGAGAAACCCAACCATACCGAACCGAAAATATCGATTTTTTCCCGAACTGTAACATTTAAAATTCTCTAAGGATATAACTTTTATAAAACCGAATTTTTCGAAATCGAACCGAATTTTATCAAATTTCCTAAAAACCAAAACCGAACCGTATCGAAATCGAAAACGAACCGAACTGAATAATATACGATACTAATTTCGTATAAATTTTAGGATATCTAATAAACGGTTTCCGAACTAAACCGCTAAAATTTCGAAACGAATCCCGAAACGGTCATCCCTGATTAAAGCGGTTGAGGAGTGCTTTTCATACACACCATGTCTAGTAAGTATAACCTTTTGGTTGTAGACGATATAGTTTTAAACTATATTCTAGTTGATACAGAAGATGAGTCTTGGATCATAATTATATTAGAATCATTTTCTCTGTAGAATTAAATGGTGAGAATTGGTAGATCATAGTGTCCTGTGAGTTCATATCTTTGGTCCTCGCACGGAAATGTTTGTTCCCTTTCAAATTAAGCTTCTATCATTTTATGGGAAACTTCTATTTGTTGATACTTCGTATTCATCGCGCTATAACTGGGTTCATTTAGGGGTAAAAAAATTTATAAAAATGAAAGATTCTTTTAAAAATATTCCAAAATTTTGCTTAATAACATTTGAACCGAATCGATTTGAAAATGGATATAAAACTAAATAGAAACAGTTTCTACAAATATAAAAATATCCAAAATATCCAAAAAACTGTTTTCAGACCATCTAACGGTGATTTAGTGGTCGGGTGGATAATAAAGTCATTTCAAAATTATAGGTTCGATTACACTAATGTAGAGGAGGGGACGCAGTTAATTGTGTGACTAAAATATGATTTTGAATTTAAGAAATTAAATGGATCGACTGTCAGTAAACTATTGGTTATAAAAAAAAACTTCAGTAGATTAATGTCTTAAATCTTTATCTCGGTGATAAATGAATTGAAAATTTTAGGCTTAAAAGTATTTTGAGATTGACCCGTCTCTTTTGTTACTCCAATTGGTTCAGAATAATCTCGTCCCCTTGGTAATAATAGCATTGCTTATGGCAACGTTATTCCTAATGAAAAGAACCAATAACCATAATTTTAAATCTCGTCATTATCACTCATCACAACTTTAGTGGAATCTGCTGCCAGATTTAGACATCAGCATTTCAATTTCAACGAAAGCTGGCCACCATTAGGACCGACCATTCAGCTCCTATGGTATAATTTTATCATGTTGACAAATATATGCATATATAATATTATAATTTATAATTTCCTTAACAGTCCAACATAAAATATGTAACTAACGTTCTTGTTCAGGGTGCAGGTTGAAACTGTACTTTCCGCCATGGCTTTTTAGTTTTTACCGTACGTTGTCGTCGTCAGATTCTTACTGCTTCACACACACACACACACACATATATATATATATATACACGTAAACACAGAAAAATATATTAAGATTAAAAGTAGTAGTTAGAAACTACAACATTAATCATGAACTAGGTTGTTTTATAGCATAAATCACTCATATGATCAAATTGCATATGAATGATTTGATCATGTTTTTTCCCTCTTGTCCTTGAATTGAAACCCATGTGGCGTTTTCTTGTCATTTTTCGCTTGCTGGGTTTTTTTGCTCTGGGCATTGATTTTATTATTAAGTATAGCTCCAAATTAGATGTTTAAGTATACTTATTGAAACCAAATTATGGCTGATTTCAATTATGCGGCTGGTACAGCCAAGCTGGCCCATCATTTTTTACTCATATATATTAATAGTAGAACAAGGTTTTTTAGTGGTCAAATAATATCTTATATTGGATTACCATTTTGTTCGCAATCAATTTCAATTCGTCATATTATGTCATTTTTTTATATAATTCATAACTTCATTACACCTTTGATTTAACTACATCTTCTACACGTTCGAAAAAGTTCGAAGTTGGGACGAATGTTTTTTTCCGCGTTTGGATTTGAACTAAGGATAAAAGCAAACTTTGTATTTAAAATATCTACGAAAATTAATCAAATATGTATACGTACCTATGTGTGTTGCATCTGAAATACCTTTTCTTCGTCGCTCGCTGGATTGGACCGTGTGATATTATCGAAATTTATGTGTACAAAATTGGCATAGCGACCTTACATTTAAACCGACCAGTACCAACATTATTGTCCTTACGTTGCCGTCCCTTATTACATAATTGACTATTATTTCCAATTTTGCTTTGCCTTTACAGTGAGAAATTATAAAGGTATTCAGATAAGAACACGGATATATATATATATAATGCGGTGGTGTGATCACTGTGATGTATTTAATCTTTTCGTATGAGCTTAGAGCCTCAGAGTCAATACGTATTTGCATCTCCGATTGGATTGCTATGTACTTGAATCAATTATTTAAAATTTGAAAACAAATGCATCTCTTAAATTATATAAAAAGTTTACACTCAAAACATTTCTAATCTGATCATTGAAATGTTATTCGTTTAAAAAAATATATAAGTACGGACTATGTTTATATCCAATTTAATTTTGAAAATGAAAAGTGGATACCAGTCGTACGATATTTTATCAAAATTGATTGGATAATCAAAGTAAATTTCACGGTTTCGCTATATATATATATATATTTAGAGTTTCATTGAATTTTATATTATTGGATAAAAAAACTTATATAATTTATATATCTGTATATGTATGCAATATTAGCACGTAATTCGTAAACATGTATATTTCAAAAAGTTATTAGAAAAAAAAAGGTTATTATAGATCAGAAATTGTATCTGTTCGATCGTGCTTGTATGTAAAAAAAATGTGTACGTACTCGAGTATAAAATATGGAAACCATTAACATAACATTGTTTTGGTTGGTATCACTTTCTAAATTAAATGGAAGCATGGCCCACTGATACCCAAAGTTGACCAATACGGGTCCCACTCTTCACTATATTAGATAAGAGGGCGGCTCTTTTGTGGGTCCACTTTATGATCCTCAATTTTTTTAAAAAATTATAATCCCATTTTTATTTATTTTTTTGCCCAATTTGAATAATTTCTATACGTAACATGATGTTTTGGACGATACCAAGTTAACAAAGCATACGTGGTCCGTGCCACGTCACCTCTGCTCTCAACTTGTGTCTCATGCCAGTTTCTCAAAGCTCCATTCACCATATCCACGAATTTTTCGAATTTTTATTAATTGCATTATTTTAAACTATTAATTTTTAAAATATTTTTATTATATATTTCTTACCTTTTCCAACCGACTAATCCCGTTTTTAAATTGTCCTTTTTTACGTTAGTTGCAATATTTTTATATTCGGCGTTTATTATTTAATTCATATAAATAATTAAAATAGTACGAATTAAATCCGATATTTTATATAATTTTTGTAAAAAAATGATAATTATTAATCCAGTTTATATATATCGCTTAAATATATTAAAAAAACTACGACCCAATTTTGTTGGTTCTTTCGTTAGGAATCGAACTGTAAAAAAATAGTATAGATGCCTAGGAATGATCACAAATCACAAATCAGTAAAATATATAAAAAAAATTACTCATTAATTTAAGTTATGACAGAGAATTCTAATTTTGCAATATGGTTCTGTACGTACAAATTATTATTTGGAGTGAGAATGAATTTAATGTCATGTCGCTATTAGGCTTTTGTCATGAAGCCCGTGTTTGTCTAGCAAGGCCCATTGTATTAATTGGTACGACACCGTTTAGCATCTGACAAACTGACATAAAAACCTGGCGTATAATAATATATACATATCAGCAGAATGTAATATACATTTAGATAATATTCCAAACTATAGTGAAAAAATATAATATTAAAAATTATAAAAATAAATGTAACATTGCAGACGTAATGAATGGAAATAGCTTTTTTTTTTTAAGATAATAAAAACCGTCATTGATGTATTTATTGTTGATTTTTTTATTTGTTTGTTAGGGTTTATCAGTACAAAAATTAAAATATATTTATATAGATAGTGATGATGATGATGAGCAATGCTGGGAAATAGTTTTTTTTTTTAAGATAATAAAAACCGTCATTGATGTATTTATTGTTGATTTTTTTATTTGTTTGTTAGGGTTTATCAGTACAAAAATTAAAATATATTTATATAGATAGTGATGATGATGATGAGCAATGCAAAATGCTCCCAGTAATTATCAGAAACTCGATCTTATCCATTTTTATGGAAATTATTATTATTTTTTAAATATTTCGCGCTTCCTGGCGAGGAATTTTTTTTAATCATACAAGACAGGGGGCAAAATCGGAAATCAATAAATTTCACCAAGGCGGGAAAAGGAGCCGTTGTAAACCAAAACTCTCACAACTATGGCGCCAAAAATCCTCCTCACTCGGGTTGTCAGATTGCCCGTAAATTCCCGGGCAGCCTAATTTTCTAAATTCCGAAATTACCCTCTTTCATGTCTTCTAAAGGACCCCCCTTTTTTTCTGGGGGCGGCAAAGGCCAACTCATGTTTTAAGAGAATATTTCTTTGACTATATAAAGGCTCTCTCTTTATCGCACCCTCACATTTCCTGTTTTTTCCACTTCTCCAAAAATCCATCCCTTTGAAATTCCACAAAAAAAAAAAATATTTATCATGTTGAAAAAAAACCTAATAAAGCCCTGGAATTAGGCTCTTCTTCACTCACTTTCCTCTTATTCCCTCTTCTTTGTTCTTGTTCTCTGGTCCTTCTTCCTTCTCATTTTGTTCGGATTCCTCGTGTTCGTATTCCGTTTCCCCCACTTCTGATCAAAGAGAGAAAGACCCTTTTTTCATTCCCTCTTCTCGCTTTAAGAAACTCAACCCTCTTCTTGTTCCTCCACAGGGGCACACTGTACGGATTCCTTTCGCATCGTAACCACTGATCGAGTTACCGACAAAAATGGGGTTTTCGAAGAAATCGCAAGTCGAAGGAGGCTTAGACGCCGAAGGTAAGAAATGGGTCATTGCCGGGATTTCAATACGGGCTTCGCTCAAGCCGGTGAACACTAAAATCAGGGCAGAAGCCGAAGAGCAGCAAGAAGAAAATGAAAGAGGAGAAGAAGAAGAAGAAGAAGAGTGCTCGACGACGCCGACGGCGAAGGAGGCGAGGATTCCGGCGAAGTTGAAGTGCCCACCGGCGCCGAGAAAACGCCGTCCGGCTTTGCGATGCCGGAGTAACGCCGTCAGAGAGTTCTTCACTCCCCCTGATAATCTGGAGACGGTGTTTATACGACGCCGTTAACCCTTAAAGGGAATTAACTTCCAGAGTTTGGAATCTCCAAAATCACAATTTTTAGGATTCTTTTTTTTTTTCGGTTAGGGGTTTTGATTTTTGATTTATCGTGGGAGGGTTTTGCAAAATCTGTTTGTTTTCCCTAGTTTAATTTTTTTAGGGTTTATTTTATCCTCTTTCTTTAAGATTAGATAAGGTTTATTTCTATGTTTTCCCCTTTTTTTCTTGTTAAGTAGTGGTAAAGAAAGGTTATGTACAAACGTATAATATAATATAATATTAATGATAATCAGCAGCTTCTGAGTCATATTATTCATGTTTGGTTCATCAAAAAAATCTTTTAAAACTTCTAATCAACAATTAATTAGTGTCCATCACATCGAATCAAAGAGTCTTCTTATTCTAGCGAAGATTCTTTGTGATCATTTCTAAGTCTATTGACATCAAATTTAATCACATCAATGATAGAGACGGTCCATGTAATGAAATTATTGATTATGTGAATTGAGTTTTACAAGTTGATCTATAAAGGGTATGGCGTAAAACTGAGGGCTGAGGTTTGGTAGACTTGTGGGGGCTGTGAATAAAAGGGTAATTTATTTATGTGAAATTCGGCAATTTTGGTGGTTTGGCCTCTTTGGTAAGATTTGCTTGCGTCAGTGGTCCTTTGAAATTCGGTCGGACTTCGTAGCCGATCATATGGGGGCTCGTCTTCATCATATCATAAGTGTTTTTTTTTAAACTTTAGGTATTTAATTTAGTAGATATTTCAGGTTTTTCAAATATTAAATTTTATTGAAATGTTGATTTTTATATTTTATGACATTTTTTAATTGCTTAAATGTCATGTAGGACCAGAAGTGAATACATTGTTATAATATATATACCAATAGTTATTTCAAAACTCTATAAATTATTATTATTATTATTATTATTATTTAAAATGGATGTCTAGAATTTAAGGCTATTCATATATTTGAAGCATATTGAATTTCGGATACTTTTATTTTGATCATAGCAAAGCTATATTATGGTGTATATGTCTGTGTGTATATACACACGTATTATATGGAAATGCACATATATATATATATATATATATATATATATATATATATGTAATGTAGAATTCGGTGCGTGAATTTCTTTAAGAAGGGCCCAAAGTCGTCCAACAAATTTGAACCTTTTTTAGGATTGCATGCACACTCTTCTTTATTTAAATTTTTATTGACTATTTTACCAATATTAATAATATATAAAGTAATCAATATCCCACCAAAATAAACAAAACCAAAACTCATTAAACTATTCAACAATACAATACGATATTAATGTATACACATGCGATTTATTAAACTTTATTATTTTATAATATATAAATAGTCACATCATACGGTGGCGTGTTGATTATGATTTTTACACAATTTTTATAACCCACATGATTAGTGTGCATATGCATGTTCATGTATTATCTATACAACGTTATTTATACAATGATGTAGAAGCTTTCGCGAGTTGTCAATCAATCAGTATATTGTTGTAATAATATTAATATTAAAATAGATATTTAAGTAATAATTATTTAATAAAAATGGTATTTCAGAGATAATTTTTTAAATCAAAATAACATCTTTAAAGTTTCTATTCAACTAAAATTAAAGTTTATAAGATGTTATAAAAAAATGTTTAAGGTTATTAGTTTCTTAAAAAGAGAGAAAACAAAATCATATTGGTTTTATTTTTTAAAATCACTAGATCGAAAAATTTTATATATATATATAATTTATATAATAATGTAGATTAAATTCCACTTATATTTAGATTTTGTAAAAGTAAACATCTAAAATATTAAAATCATCTATTATAACTTTCATGTATCTTTATGATGATACAAAATAAAGATAGAAAAAACGCATGAAAAAAAAAAACATACACCTTCTACGCTGGTGTTGAAGAACTATCTAAAATATTTTTTTGTAAATTTTGGTCTAATAATCCATATATTTTTTAAAAAAAGAATTAACATGTATGACAACAAAAGGAATACTGATTAATGCCCATCGCAAAAGAAAAAGGGATACTAATTGCTAAGTGCGATAATTGCCGAAATTCACTTCATTTATTAACTATAATCTTGATTTGCTTATTCGGAACTTAGATTCAGAAGTATGCATGGGGTTTTCAAATTCCATTATTGACTAAACCACAGTGATTATTTCATATACGACAATAAATGTCGTATATAGTTACGAATTTCATTTGTCTTTGTCTCGTCATTTGATAGCGTCATCACCTGTGGAAATTTATTATTGTAAAAAAAATAATAATTCCAGAAAATTATCGGTCTTGGAATGCTATATCTCTCTGGTCGGAAAAGGACAAAAGAAGGGGGGGTTCAGAGAGCGGTGGGATGGGAGAATCCTATGTGGGGGCTTAAGGCCATGTTTGGCTAATCCTCCGCGTTTTGTTCCTCCTCCACCCATCACCATGTGTTTTGCGCCTAAACGAGTTTTACGAATTATGGTTTTCATGGAATCCAAATTTATACTAATAAAACAAAATAAAATCGGTCTAATTATTTTTAAAACGGTGTAAAATAAATAAATCTACAATTAGATAACAATGGGAATGAGTACAAAAGAGTGTGCTGTGACGCCATAGTGTGTGGAGGATATATACCAACATTTCCAATATATGTTTGTATCTTTATATATCTTTTATTTGTACTTTAAGGATATAAAACGTGGGAAACAATGGTATATAAAATTATCTATAAATATCAAGAAGAAAATTTGCAATCTTTTTTTTTTTTGTTAAAAGAAAAATTTAAATGCAATTAAGTAAGTATAGATATCTAAAATCTATGTCTTAATTTGTGTGAAAATAGGAAGTTAATAATTTCCTTAGTGTCTCATTTTAATATGTATATATGCCTTTTCTAAAATACAATAACTGATACATACACATTAAATGGACTATATATATGAATATAGTATGCGTTGTTGATTCTACATTGCATGGAAATCTGAATGATTCAAACATGAATGGGTGAAATATGTGAAAGGTTCCCTTTTGATATCTAAAACAATAATAAATGTTATAGGGATTAGGATACTTTTAAGAAAAAGTCAGACCACAAATGCGGCAATGCCAAAATCTATGCCTTAAATTTGTCAGATTATTGTCATTTTTGAAATTTTGTATAAAACTATAATTAAAATATTCATCGGATCGACTGTTGTTTTCATAATTTGGACCGTCTATGCATATTTAATGAAACCCCACATTCTGTGTTTGATATGTTATATATAGTTTACTTCAGGGTTTATTATTATGAAGTTTTTTTTTTAAAAAATTTCGGCAGCAAATATTTAAAAATGGGCTTTTTTGTGTTTATCTTTGGACGAGGAAACACGAGATTTTTTCAAATTTTTAACTTGTCACAGTGTGTGAAACCGCGTAATATATGAAAATATTGAAATATCTAAAACTTTGTAGGACATAAAATTACAGCTTATCACCTAAAGTAATGGAATTAATGATCTGTTTTTATATCATTCGATATAATTATCCATTATCTTATTAAGTACACCATAATTAATTGTACCTTTCTTAAGATGAATAAACGTACGTAGTCAAAATTTGCATGTGGTGTGTGTCATTGTTTCATGTCTAATAGACAAACTCTTTTGTTTTTTTTCGTTTGGATACAAAGCTTCGGTCTATGGCTTGGACAACAAAGGAAAGTACAATGGGTATATCGTTCGTGTGTGTGTATATATACATATATATATATATATGGAACTTGTTTGTATTATCAATGTATATAAATACATACGTTATATCTTCATCAATACATGCATGTGCTTTTGTTGGGGGGCCAAAGAAATAACACTATCCCTACATCTTGATAGAGACATCGAGGAAAAAGTTTACACGTTTCTCTTCGTTCGTTTTCGATTTTGAATCTCTCTATCTTGTAGCCTTTTGATCATATGAATGCCGAACCATATGGAACATATGTCAATTTAAAACGTTACTGCATTTATATATATATATATATTTATTAATTTAACTGTAAAACATTATAATTCAAAATTATAATAAACATATTTTTCAAAACCCTTTAATTTGGCTTGTGTCTTACAATTAATATAGAGATCTGATTATTATGGCAACACACACACACATACACACACTACACATATATACATGCTGAAATAGTTTGTTATTTTGGTGTTAATTAGCATGATTGGGTTGACTTTGCTTTTAAATTTTAAATTGGAATAAGCCTAAAAATACTAATGCAATATATATTTAGTTAGTCAAGACCTCATGGGAAAGGAGAATTTCGAAGATTCTCTTTAAATTATACAAAGCACATATATACATACATACATACATATGCATGTAAGTTTACTGGTCTAATATAATAAGTCAAAACACAAAAAGAAAGAATATGCCTATGATAAAAATAGATACATAGTTTATCTGCCCAAATTCTATTTTTATAAAAATACATATTCAAAAAAAGATTCGTTTTGTCTCTATTCTCACTCGTTTAATTTATTTTAAAAATTATATTCAATCAATTTTTAATTGAATTTGGTTTATATATATGTATTCCAATATTATTCCATTCAATTCGTTTCCATTTAAAATATATCAAATCGAAATATCCATCTCTCACCTAAATATTTATCTTGTTATTTCATGTCACCAATTAAACCTGAAAAAAAAAATCAAGATCCGTGGTGGTAAGTAACCGAAATAGAATTTAATGGCGTTCCCATGCATCACATTATTGGTGTCTAGTAATTTCGAGAATTTGGAAAAAAATAAAAAATAAAACATCTAAAGACAAAAAAAATGATGTTCATGCATTAGGTTACTTGCACCTTATCTTTGCAGTTAATAAGAGAGAAGATGAGGCATGGCTCCATGATGCTTCACTTACCATACCCTTTTTTTTAAAAAAATCTTTCACTCAATCTGTTTTCATTATTTTGAACTTTTTATCCAAAATAATCAATTACAAAAACCATCAAAATTTATACAAATGAGTTAATAACTACCTAATATTTAAAATATCAAAGATTTTTTTTTACTATTATAAATGTTGTAAAACCTAATAATGTTTCGCGAACAGATATATCTGTTTCAGTTTGAATATGTAAATCCAAAAAAAAATGATCGTATTAGAGTAAATTCCATCTAAAACAAAAGATTTAATATATGTAATTTATGTGTCAAATGTGGCTTTATATATATATATATATGTATCTCAATATAAATTTTTGATGCGGTGGGTATCCCACAAGGATTCTTTTTTGCTACAATCATTATATATAAGATAAGGTGGACGATTGTGTGACATAAAGCGGAAAGATGGAATTGTAATACTGAGATATTATAACTGTGATTGACTATATATTCGACATCGACTGATGATGAATTTACGACGTTGCATGCTTTTCTGATTTTATAGGACCAATGTATATGTATATAATTAATGGCATATATATTGAACTTATAGGGGAGTTACTCTCAATGTTTAATCATATGAAACTTTGGTTAATGGGGGCAAAACAATGAACTTGATATTCTACAAGAGTACATATAAATGATTTCTCATGAAACCCATCTCTTTCCAAATCTTGTCATTGTAATTTGTAATGGTTAACCAATTATTTAAACTTTGGGGAAAAAATTGATCTACATACCTAATATATTATCATTTTTTTTAAAAACGGATTCGGGTTGAATTTGGGTCATTTTTTTTAAAATAAATTTATCTACGCTCATAAGGAATATTTATCGAACCGATATTTGTTGCTAATTTTAAGAGAGAATTTCGAGAGGATAATAATGTGATCGTGGGTTTTTGTACTCATAGATTCTTTTGATAAAATGATATATATATTATAATAATAATAAGCTGAAAAAACCGAATCCAAGGCAAAGTGAAAAATTTTGAGATTTTTGAGGTTAGGAATAGTAGAGACACGTACACATGGGCCGCCAAAGGTATCCTATGCCAAAACGCAGCTTCTACTTATTTTACAATTTTTTATTTATTTATTTATAAATATCTAATCACATTATTTAAGTTAAAGATGGGTGTTATTGTTCCGTACAAGCTTTAACTTGCCTTAAACGCGTAGATAAAGACGAGTTTTGTCCCTCGAAGGACCGGCAAAGTTACGTTTGTGCCCCTCCTTTTAACGCGGTTTCGTGCCCTAATCTCTTACCCTGACCGAGCTGCCCGTTGATATTGGCGGGAAAATTGTGAACCCCTAACATTCAAATTGTATCGATTTGGCGCCAAAAAAAAACACGAGTCAGCCCGGGAAAAGCGGGCTGTGGCGGCTGCGTTTCGGAGTTTGTCAACACGTGTCTGTCCGACTTGACCAAGGCGTAGAAATTCCCACGTCAGCCTGTGGGACCCTCTGACATTTAAAGAACCGTGACCATTGAGACGTAGTCATTCGTCACATATGACGGCCCAAGTGATAATAAATAGATAATATCAAAATGAAATAGAAATACAAGTTGGTAATAAAAAATTAAAACTGGAGGGTGAAATTTGACAGTAGCCAACGGATGCAGTCGAAAAAAAAAGGTGACGAAAGATTTTGAAATTCTAGAGTTTATTATTTTAGTTTTAATCTAATTTTCAACAATAAATATTTTTAATTTTTTTTTTGGCTTCGATCGATTTTCACCGGTAGAATAATGTAAAAGAGTGAATTTCCCATGAAATTATAAAAGTTAATTATGAATTTATTGTTTTAATTCAAGATTTCGTTTTTTTTAGATACAGTTGCCACTTGCCAGTAATAATATGTTTGCGTTAACTCAAATGTAAATGAGATCCCTTGGTAATGGGCCACCTAAATTTTGTGGTGAGATTAGGAAAATTAAATTCAGATTGTGGGTTTTGACCACTAAGCCCAATAGTAAAAAGTATGAAATAAAATGGACAATTATACTATATTAGAACCCAAAAGCCCAAAATAATCCGTAGGAAAATTAAATTCACATTGTGGTAAAAAGTATGAAATAAAATGGCCCTTATACTTTTATACTTTTATGTTAACTAAATCTTTAGAACCCAACAGCCCAAAAGTAATCAGTAGGCCCATATTAGTAACTGATTGTGTCAGTTCTATTATTCGACACCGTCAGTCACTTCAGTTGTAACCCTCTCTCTGGAGTGGGAGGTTGGGAAGCGTCGCCTCTTAGCTTTATTGGGCCCGATTCAGAGAGTTATTGGGCTTGTGGGCCATTTAATTAGGCCCATTAATTGTTTAGCATATATTTCATCAGTATATGGATACATCGGATCTCCTACCAAATCCATCCAAATCCGTATTTGACTAGTATTCAAGAAAAACAGATTTCATGGTGTGATCACTCGGGAAATTCCCAGTTCAATTTTGTCACAGAGAAATATGAAATGTTACGCACCAAGTATTAGCGAACAGCAAAAAGCGAGGGGGTAGGGAATCTATCTTCAAAAGCGAAAACGGCAGGCAGACTTTTCCGTAAAACACGAAACGACGCGCTTTTTGAAAAAAGTGAACAGAAACGGGATCGTGCACTGCGAGCCGTTTCAAATTTTCGATCCCCCGAGCTCTGGGCACCTGAAGCACAACCACCACCGTCGAGCGGCGCGTGAGGAGCACGCGACCCCGTCTCTGAATCCCCATAGACGTGCTACTGCGTCACCACCAATAGCCTCCCAACACGTGTCCTTGTCGCACCTTTTCCTCCATTTTTTTCTCTCACCCTTTTTCTCCATAAACCCTCTGAAAACCCTGTCTAGGGTTTCTTCTCTAATCTCCACATCACAGCATCGGTCCATCACTCTCCAACACTTGAGAACTGTTTACTCGGCTTCAGATTCTTCCTGATCTTTTTCCCTTTGTTTTTCTTGGTTTTCTTGATGTAGCTGAAAATGATTCGTTTAGCGTTCAGCTTCGTCGTTCTGGCCCTGCTCGCGGCGGGTAAAACGTCGTCGCATTTGGGTTCCGGTCCGCACATTACCGATGTCAATATACTGTTACCTCCAAGAATGAAGAACCCAGTGGAGTATCGGCTTCAAGGAAGTGATGGCTGCTTCAAATGGTGCGTGCCCTTTGTCTGAATCCATTTTGTGTTCTCGTGGACAGCTTATTTTAGGTTTGATGTTTGATAAACTCTGGTAAACAGGAATCTAAGTATGGAATGGTTGCCTTTTCTGAAATTGGTTTTCCTCTAGATATTGGAAATTTCCTTAGAAATATGATCTCTAGCTAATTTATATTTTTGTTTTTCCCATTATCAAGCTGACAACTGATTTCGTTGTTGTTAGAATCTCATATTTTGCGCGTGCCTTTGTCTGTGAACTTAAAATTGTTCGAGTTTGGAACATGGCTTCTACAATTTGAGCATAAACTTTGATTCTGGTGTAGTTAGCGACTCAGCTCGATCCATATGTTTCTTTATTTTTAAAGAATTTTCTCTGGCCGTGTCAAGTTTGCTAAATTTCTCGATTTAAATTTTAGAGTGTGGAAAGAAAGTATACAAGTTGGCTGCATAATTTCTGCTGAGGGTGATGTTGACTTCTTTGAAAATTTCCAGGTCATGGGATCACCATGATATTCTCTCGGTTACACCGGAGTTTAATGCGAGCAGTCACTGCTCGACCAGTGCACGCCTGCGATCAACTGCCCCATATACTGGTAGAAAAGAGACTGCAGTTTATGCTACTGATATACATACAGGAATGGTGATTCGCTGCAAAGTGTTTATTGACAACTTCTCCAGAATCCAGATTTTTCATAATTCTATCAAGCTTGATCTTGATGGCCTTACGACACTCAGAGTTCGCGCCTTTGATAATGAGGGTACTTGATTACGTCTTCGTTTAGCTTCCGCCCAAGTCTTTTAAGAGCTGAGAAGTCATTAGCCTTGACTTTTGATACTACGTTCTGGTGTTGTCTTCGGTATGTTTAACTCTCTTCATGGTTTTTTGGACCGCTCAAATCTTTTGCAGAAAATGAATTCTCCTCCTTGGTGGGTCTTCAATTTATGTGGAAGCTAACACCTGAAAGTGAAGGATCGTCGCATCATCTTGCTCATGTTCCTTTGAAGGAGTCTCCCTTGACTGATTGCGGGGGATTATGTGGCTATTTGGATATCCAAAAAAGGCTTGAGGATAGTGTATGTATTATCCCTGAGTATGAATAGGTGAAATTAAAGGTTTGATGCATGAAAAATCTCACGTTGCATGGCAAACAAACGTGCAGGATGTATTTTCAGATTTACTCGTGGTAAAGGGAATCAAAATTGGACATGAGAAGGTTTCGGTTAATTTGCTCGAGCCCCCTCTTAATCATATAGCAGATGAAATAGTTCTAACTGTAGCAGAGGCCATGTCGCTTCAACCTCCCTCGCCTGTTTATGTCCTCATCGGAGCTGCTTTCCCGTATACTCTCAAGGTTATGCGCGGGAATAATCCTCAAGGTCTATTTGCCTCCTGAATAATAACTTTTGACTCTTTTTACAAAGCAATATGTGTCCTTTAATGACCTTATATTTCAAGCTCAGCTTTTTTTTTTTCCATATGTTTTATAAATATGATGTTAGTGATTTCTTTGTTCATACATACGTCAAGAATGTGGGCTCCTAGCTTTAAGTCATCTTGGTGATGCAGATATGTACTCTGAACATTTCTCCTAATTGTAGTCTGAGTGAAAAATGATGTACTATGTTGTGCTGTTTTATCAGTCTCATTAGTCATTCTTGGTTGGCTAACCTTTCCGTCATATTCGCAGTTGTGGCTCTACCATCACCACATCACAGATGGTCTGTGTTGAACTCTTCAGTTGCTCAAGTGGATTCTTTGACAGGCCTGACTGAAGCATCAAACTTGGGGTTAACAACTGTCATTGCTGAGGATACCAGGGTTGCTGGAAACATTCAAGGATCATCTCTTAATGTGGTCATTCCAGATACTTTTGTCTTGTACTTGCTACCTTTGTTAGCATCAGGGGAGCCTGTTACAGGGACAGAGCCTGTTCCATCATCTGTGCGTTGGCATGTTGTATCTGGTCGCCAATATCTCATTCAAATGAAGGTTTACACAGGAAGACCTGATGCACATGAAATCTTTTTAACCAAGGTACTTTCCTGTTTACTTGTTTTCTTCTTGCATTAGTTGGCAAAAGTTGCATTTTTTTCTGTATCTGTTCTATAGTTTCAGCATGGTAAATATTTCACCATGCCTTCTAGATTTCTTTTTATTAAAAAACAAAACAATCTGTAGTTTCTTTGTGATAGAGTGACGGTCATCTTAATCTTGTTACAGAAGCTGCATTTTCTTTTGACCCTCTTTCTCGATCATCTTCCTTATGGTTCCTTTATCAAGAAAAGTACTCTCAATTGCAAAATTCATTGGCCGAGGACTATACAGTTTAGAGTTGTAACACTTGTTTGTCAGAGCCTGAATCTGAAATTGACTACTTAAGACTGGAAGAAATCCTCAAATGCTGGCTTTCTTGGTTAGTCACCTTACTGCTGGTTTATCGTCCCTGCACATCCATTTTTGGGTAGTTTTTTTGATTGTAGATGATCTTGTTTTTAATATCTTGGTTCTTTCAACATATCTATCTCTGTTGTATTGATTGCAGACAGATGATATCAAATTGTATGGAAACGAATCGGATTATTGGAAAACCTTCTCAGTGCCAGAGGATGTTGTCTTGGAATACAGTTCGCTAAATTCTAGAATTTTGACTGCAATCTCACCAGGATTGGGAGAGTTAATGGCTGCATTGAGTTACTTCAGTGGGCATGAGAAGCCAAAGAAGGTGAGACATATTATACCCTCTTTACATAAGTGGAGGATATGCCCCAATTTCATCCAGCATGTTTTGTTTGTTATGCTACTCTAAGTTCAACGACTTTTTTACTGGCAGGTTCTCAAGGTTGTGCAAGAAATTATGGTTTGTGAGCAAGTGAAATTCACATTGAACTACGAAAGAGGTTCACCTATGGTTCTACTCCCTTGGGCCCCTGGCGTTTATCAGGAGATGAAGCTAATTGTGACTGGAGGTCAGTGCCAAGTTCCAGCTCTCTTGATATTTTTTCTACATTTTGAAATCCTTTGGGATCGTAATATTTGTTCTCCTTTATATAGGTTGTGCAAAGGCATCCGGTGACTTTAAGTGGTCTTCTTCAGACATGAGCATTGTGTCTGTGTCAGCCTACGGAATTATCCAGGCCAAGAGGCCTGGGAAAGCCATTGTGAAAGTGTTGTCCATTTTCGATTCACTAAATTTCGATGAGGTAGTAGCAATATCTGAATTTCATATTTTAAGTTAGTCGATTTTAGGCTCTATTTTTTTTCTGCTAAACAGAAAAAAGAAGATTAACTTTTAATTCTAAGAGGGGTTAGTGGCTTTCTGTGATATGAAAGACTCCAGTTCCCTGAACCTAAATGTACTGCCTTTTTTAGATGTTTGCCACAACGATTTTTATCTCTATCTTTATGTTCTTCCTGGTGATTCTTGTAAACATTCATAGGTTGTGGTTGAAGTGTCCATCCCATCCTCTATGGTTATGCTCCAAAACTTCTCAGTAGAGACCGTTGTCGGATCACACCTACGAGCTGCTGTCACAATGAAGGCTCCAAATGGTTATGCCTTCTACTTGCCATTATACTTCTGGTGCTCTTGTCATCTTTTTTCTTTTTTCCCCTTTTGTTCACTTAGAGTTTACTTTCAGGTGCCTCTTTTTCTAGATGTGATGCTTTCAGTTCTTCAATAAAATGGAACACCAGGAGTGACTCTTTCATCATCGATAATACAACATCTGAGAGGTTGGTGTTGGATGAATTAAGAAGCACGAGTTCAAGTCCTCCTTGTTCATGGGCTTATATTTATGCTTCTTCTCCTGGTCGGACAACGTTACTTGCAACTCTGGCGAAAGAGTTTCATCATTTTGATAAGCCTTTGAGTGAATCTCTTGCGTTGAAAGCAACTTTAAGTATTGGGGCATATCCTCCACTTACTGTCAAACAAGTTAGCGATGGAAATCATTATGGTGGATATTGGTTTGATAAGGCACATGAAGAAACATCTTTTGGCCTTAGAGGCTTGGATAAGATGTATCTTGCACCTGGAACATATGTTGATGTGATGCTTGTGGGGGGACCTGAAAAGTGGGATGAAAGTGTGAAGTTCAAACAGACTGTGAGGACATTAGATGAAGAGCAGGATCTTACTGGTGGAATTAGTGTGCATCACATTTTGGACAGTCATGATAACCTGTATAGACTTTCATGCCAGATGCTTGGTTCCTATGTAAGTTTGCAGGCGTTCAATGATCATTGTTTTTGGTCTTATTTTCTACTTTAAATGTTAAAGCTGATGACACGGTATCTTTCTTGCCTGTCTTCATCCAGAAATTGGTCTTTTTACGTGGGAATCTGGTGGGTAATGACCATCCTGTCCCTGCTGTAGCAGAAGCTTTCTTGTCTGTAGGATGCAGAATTCCGTCTTCCATTGTACTCATTGTTGATGAACCCGGTATGTTTAATATCTCCCACCATACTAGAGTTCTTGCATGTCCCTAGAAAATTTTTCTTTGGCGCATATTCATATGGATGCCATGTTTTGTTCTAACATTGGGGTGTTATATATTATTTTACAGTTAACAAGCTTGATGTAGTAAGAGCTGCTCATCAAGCTGTTAGGGCACCAGGACGAATTCGTGTAACTCCTGTTACTGTGGCTAATGGGCAAACCATTCGAGTGGCTGCAGTTGGTATCAGTGATTCTGGAGAAGTTTTTGCAAACTCCTCTTCTCTTTCGCTAAGGTGGGAATTGAGCAATTGCAATGGTTTGGCATACTGGGCTGATGCTTATGATTCGAAAACGGCAATGGCTAGCTGGGAGAGATTTCTGGCTCTTCAAAATGAATCAGGGCTGGTAAGGATATCCGCCAATTTTCTGTCATTATCTTTACCGACTGAAGTTGTTTTATGATGTTATATCGGTTTCCTTCTAATGTATCTGTTTATTGGTTTGACAGTGCACTGTCCGTAGCACCGTTGATGGTTTTGATGATTCCATGAAAAGCCTGTATTCTACTTTTCTTCCGGAAGGTTCAGAGAATGTTCTCACTGATGCTGCACGCTTACAGGTAAGCAATTTCGGTTGTTTAATTCTGTAAGGCAGGTTGCAATATAACCCATCAATTTTGGGTAATATTAGGTTTTTTAACAGCTCCCTCGTTACTATATTATGTTTAATAATGGTTGAATTTCTATCTTTTCCTTACCATTCAGTTGTGACTTGTGATTGTAGCTGGTTCCCATTTCTTTCTAATTTACAGTTGGTTTCCACACTGAGGGTAACCCCGGAGATCAACCTGCTCTTTTTTAATCCTGATGCCAAGGTAAATCCCATTCAATGACAATGTTTATTCAAAAAATCTGGTAGATAGTCAATTCATACTCACTCCACACATTTGAGTTATACACTACTGACGATGGGCAGTTGCGTCTACTTTTTTTTTTCTTCTGTATTTGTGCCTATTCTGGAGCCACTTAGTTTTTCTAATATTTTAAATTTCCCAACCAAAGGTAAATTTATCAATCACTGGAGGGAGCTGCTTGTGGGAAGCAGTAGTAAATGATTCTCGAGTAGCAGAAGTTATTCAGCCACCATCTGATCTACAATGCTCGCAAATGATGCTGTCTTCGAGGGGACTGGGAACTGCACAAGTGACAGTATATGACGTTGGGGTTTCTCCTCCACTTTCAGCACTTGCCACGGTACAAGGCTTTACTTTGAAATGGATAATAATTTGGTTCTTTTTTTGGGTTGTTGATTGTGGTGAAATCCACAACTATTCTGCTTTCCACGCAGAAGCTATATACTATTGGAGATGAATAGATATATGACATGTTCTTTGAAATCAGTATCTGACTTATTGTTTTTTTATTTTAGTTGGTGTTACACATATGTTCGACTTTATGAATCTGAGTCTGTCATTATGGTGAGTTATGCAGGTTCAAGTGGCTGATGTCGACTGGATAAGGATCATATCAGGGGATGAGATAAGTCTTGTGGTATGTTTATTGTTTACTATGTTTACTATTCTTTCCCTGCTAGTGTGGAACCATAGCTAGCTATCCCTTCCACTCCTCTTTCTGTTAATTTTATTTCTTTCCAGATTTGAAAATGGCACTCGCTTTTTAATGATGATCTCGCACTTAATTTCAATGTGGCAGGAGGGATGTACTCAATTCATTGATGTATCTGCTGGGATTAATGATGGGACAACTTTTGATTCTTCCCAGGTTATAAGGATCTTCTTAAATATATTTTGATAAATATATTTTTTTTCTTTTCTTTTTTGCTGTGACGTGCTACGAACTTATTCCCTCTAAGTCGTATCTATCTAGCTTCCATGATCAACATATCTGGATTCTGAACTTTGAAACTAGCAACTAAAAGAGATGTCGATCACTACTTTTCCTTGTTGCAAGAGTTATTGTTGATTTCCCATGTTTCTGCTTGTTTGTAGATGATTGTTGAAATGTCAATATTACATATTATGCTCTGAAGTTGTCGTCTTCTCCAATTGTTAACTTTCTTTGCAGTATCCACTTATGGACATTATGGTCCATATTGAGGACGATATTGTAGAACATGTCACGGATGGTGACAATTCATTTTCTGGTGGTGAACACTCGTCAGCTTCCTCATTTAAAATAGCAGCTAGATGCCTGGGAATCACAACCCTATATGTGGGTTCACTACTTGGCTCCTTGAATGTTATTAGCATTTTTAGTCATTTCGATGTTGATTTTGTACAAAAAACTAGGTATATCTGAATCTGTATTTTCTAACAGGTCAGTGCAAGACAACATTCAGGACATGAAGTACTGAGCCAAACCATAAAAGTAGAAGTTTACGCCCCACCAAGTCTTCACCCGCATGAAATATTTCTCGTTCCTGGTGCTGCATACATGGTATGTTGGGAACACCTTGCTTGGAGTTATCTGAAATTTAGTACAGGACATTTTCCTGATGGAAATTCTTATTTTAAATGATCGAATTGTTCAATTCTACATTCTTTTATTTCCTCTTGACTCTTCAATGCTGACTGGTATTTTGTCGTCATTTTAGCTCACTGTTAAAGGAGGACCAACAATGAATGTTTCCGTTGACTACACTACCATGGATAATCAGATTGCAAAGATCGATAAATCATCAGGACGCCTCTATGCAACATCACCTGGCAACACGGTGCTGTATACAATTCTCTTACATCAGACCTGAAATAAACATATAGTACTGTTTTATGTCTAGGTTTTTGAAAAAGTGTAAACTTAGAAGTTATGATATCTTCACCTGATACTGTTTTCTTCAATGACCAGACAATCTATGGGACTATATATCGGAAAGAAGGTACTGTAATTTGTCAAGTGCGGGGCGTTGTCAAAGTAGGTATTCCTGCTACTGCTATGCTGCTAGCTCAAAGTGACACCCTAGCCGTTGGACATGAGATGCCTATATATCCATCATTTTCTGAGGCAAGAATCATAATCCAGAAAAATAAATCATTTTTATATCAGTTTTATCTGTCACAGAAAACTGACTTTTCCTATTATCAGGGAGATCTGTTGTCCTTTTATGAGCTCTGCAGAGCATACAAGTGGACTATTGAAGATGAACAGGTCAGTTGTATGCATTATCCCTTTTAAAGAGTTATTTATTTGATAAGTCATATGTTAAAGTCAGTAACAACATATTAAGTTGGATTGATTGTATATCTCTGTTTTTTCTTTTTAGGTGTTGAGTTTCCATACATCAACTGGTGTGGAAGAGAAGGAAGCTCGTTTTGTCAATGCCATAGAGGGGAGGTAAACTTTGGTCATTGTGCTGTGTTTCTCCTAAATATATTAAGTCCCCAATAAAAATGTTATGATCGAACACCATTTGCAATCACTGTTAATAGATTTTTTCAAACTTTTTAGATTCTTGATTATTCTTTCAGTGAAGTTAACTTTTACTCCTATGATAATCTGCCATTAAAGCATGATCATGCTCTAGATTTTTCAACTTTTTATATATACAAGATTTGATAATGCAATCTTTTAGTAATCATTTGAGCTCAGTATTTTTTTGAAACATGTTTGACGGAGGTGTTTGCTGACTACTATACTTGCAGTTCGTAGCAAAATGACTCCTTATATGCTTACGGCAGATTCTTCTCCATTTCAGATTAGCCGGCAAAGCGAGAGTCATGATTGCATTTTCGTGTGATTTCGTATCTCCTGGCTTGTACTCTGAATCTAGAACTTATCAAGCATCAACAGTTTTATCCGTGGTGCCTGATCTCCCTCTTTCTCTTGGGATTCCTATGACCTGGATTCTTCCACCGTTTTATACGTCCTCTAGTCTTTTGCCTTCTTCATCAGAACCTCGAAAGCAAAGGGATGGTCAAAGTCACAGAGGCAATATAGTCTATTCCATAATGAAAGTCTGTGATTCTCGGGTTGATGTTGAACAAGAAAACATTTCAGTTGATGGGGAAAATGTCAAAACGACATATAGCAACAATGTTGCATGTATTCAAGCTAAAGACCGCACCAGTGGAAGGACTGAAATTGCTGCTTGTGTGAAGGTTGCGGAGGTATTGTCGATTTTAGGAAAATATCTATTGAATTCACACCTTATATAGGGAAAAATAGCATGGGAGGCTCCACCTAATTGCTGGCAACCTGATTATATTTTTCTCCTGTCTTGTTAACTTCTTGCGCCACTTTGACTTTCTTCATCTTTTACATATTTACTTTGTAAAACTATGAATTCTCATAAGGTGACGCAAATAAGAATGAAGAGGGAAGAGAATCCTTTACATGAGGTGGATCTTGCTGTTGGTGGTGAATTAGAACTTCCAGTAAGCTACTATGATGCACTAGGTAATGTCATGTTCTCATGCTTTTACATTTGAGCTTCATTTACTTGATTTCTGATTTTTCTAAGATCTCGTTTTGTTATGACAAGGATCCACTTTTCACGAAGCACGTGATGTTATTCTCTACAATGTTGAAACCAATCACCGCGATGTTCTATCCATTGAGACTGTCAAGGAAAAAACAAGTATCTATGTCAAGGTCCGTTGATCACTTAAAATCAACTTGCTGTTTCAGCCTTCTAATTTTTGCATGTTTATGTAACTATTTCAAACTCAAGTACTTTATTTCGGCTGGGTAAAATCGTCTTACCTTTAAATTGTTGACTGCTTTTATATTTTTGCTCTGATTTGTTTGATCACGGGCATTGTGTTCTCTTTGTAACTGAAGGGAATGAAACATGGCAAAGCTCTTGTCCGGGTGTCAATGAATAACGACTTAAGGAAGGCAGACTACATTCTGGTATGAGCTAATTCTGTTATTTTCATCACACATTTGATGGAATATCTCGATTTGAAGTTGTAATTTGATGGCGTAGTATTCGTCCTGCAAAACCACAAGCTAAGATTGTGCTTATGTTGCTATGTCATTTTCTTTTCCTTAGCCAGGCATAGTTGGTGTGCTAACTGTGCACAGATTTGTTATAATTTCTGCAATTGAGGTATTATTGGTGTTCTTCTTGTTCAGATATCTGTTGGCGCACATATCTATCCTCAAAACCCAGTCATTCACAGTGGAAATTTACTTAATTTCAGCATAGAAGGTATAATATCAAGCATTGATCTACTTGTTAAAAGCTTTTTAATGATAAAGGGACTGGACTCTCATTCTATATAAAATACACATCCTCGTGCAAAATCTAATAGTCCTTCAATGTGGTAGGTGCTGGTGATGAAGCCTCTGGTCGATGGGTTTCTGCCAACCGAAGCGTCCTTTCTGTTAATCTGGCAACTGGAGAAGCTGAAGCGATAAGCCAAGGCTCAACTCTCGGTATCTGCAATTTACCTTTTCATGCTTCTTTTATGCGTATGATTGTATTTCTACAACACTTGCGAGTGATTTTTCTTTTATTTCTGCTGATCCGTGTCATGCCTGCACAGTTATATTTGAAGGTCAGGAAATGAAACTGCAAACCAAGGTCACAGTGCTATCTGGAAATACCATATATGTGGACGCTCCCAAAGAAACATTAACAAATGTTCCTTTCCCCACGAAGGGATATAGCTTCCCCGTGAAATTCAGGTCTGGAAATTTTATATTTGTGAACACGCCTTTATGAGTCCATGTATTTGCTACATTGTTACACTAGAACATATATCATGATCACCTGTTCTGTGATGAGTTCTTTTCAATTATGGTTTACCAATGGTGATTTTAATTGCTGCAGTGAGAACAAGCTCAGAGGTTATGGAAATGGAAACGGGCCAGAATTTACCTGCCAAGTGTACCCTAATTTTATAGGGTATGATGCTTATTTGAACTGTGTTTGGCTGCATCATCTATGTCAATTAATGTGCAATCTTGACGACTCCTTGTCTGGTTTATTGCAGATATACTAAGCCATGGAAGGACCTTGAGACTGGCAACAGTTACTGCCTTTTCTT